ATAAATGTTTTTTCATATGACCAACTTCTAAACATAGATCTGTTTTTGTAGAATTACTGTTAGTGAATACTCTGGGCCCAAGAAACCCAAAACATGCAAGGTAGATTGTTATCCATATTACCCGACTAGTTTGTGTTTTGAAAGGAGAGGAGTCTAGTAGGCCTGATGGGTAGCAAAATATGTTATTGTCGATAGCCTTTCGAGTGTTTGGGGTTTACTGGCTTTCTGAATTCCTTTTAGTACTTTCTTAACTTATGTAGAAAAAAAAGATTGTTTATTTGTAAATACAGTAAGCATATGATATTGCAATCCAGTAAGGTACAAGTTGATGGTGTTGTGGGAAAGGTTTAGTCGAAGGGGGCAAAAAGCTGTAAAAACCACAAAAGATGCCATGGAAAATATGTCTGGAATTTGGAATTCTCCTGTAAACCTCTTAAAAATATTGAAAGCCCTATTGTATGACTGCCTTGTGCTAGATTCCTATTATGAATTATGAGGCTATTTAGTCTATGCTTAGATCATGGAAATTCAGGGTTGCTGTAACATGCTTTGAGAAAGTATGCTGTGCTTCGAGAAATTACTGAAAATTTAAACGCGACAAGGTGTCAGCTGCTACATTATTGAATATTGGTACATGTACACATATAAGGAAAAGCTAGGAAGTCACGACAAACCAGGTCAACCTTCTATTAAATAATGGACAAAGAAGGCGATTGCCCTTTGTTGATGATAAAACATGCCGCTTAATTGTCCGAAAAGTATTTCACAGTCCTATTGGATCACAAATGTTTGGGCTGTAGCTACTATTGGGTACACGTCAAATAGAGCTGATGTATTTTTGAAGGCTTCTGGAGCCTTCGTTTCTGGGGGCTATATGTCCCATAGCCAATCATAACCAACAATTGCCACAAAACCTGTTGAGGATGCGGCTTCAATCCAGACTATGGGTGAATTATCCACTAGAAGTGGAAAAAATATGGACTTTCCATTGCACTCAAGTAGCGATCTCTGCCATAGCCTGAGTGTCTATGGTTACTTAGCTATCATCATTGGGAAGACCAGGTTAAAAACAAAGCAGTATAGATATAATTTGCAATGAGGAAAACTTGCAGAGTCCTGTCACCTTGAAAAGGTTCTGGCCTTAGCTGGGGTGCTAGGAAGTGAGACGTCTTCTCTCATATCTGATGTGTGATACACGGTACAAGAGAACAATAATCAGAACTTTCCATTACGGGCTTACTGACTAATGCCTAGAGGCGAAAATATTCACTAGGTGGGCGACTGGTGAGTGCCTGCTAGGTGCCGAGCCGCTTGAGATGCTCTGTCTATGTGTTGGGCAGGAGGTGTGATGTCACGGGTGTTGGCCTTTTAGTGACTCTTTGAAGTTTAAGATAACATGGGAGTAACAGGTGAAGCCCTACCTATGTAACCTTTCCGATATGCTGGCTTTGACTTGGGCCGAGTGGGACCTCTATTCTAAGGCATAGAAAGACTACACTATTGGGCTCCTATTCTTATCCTATAGACAATATCTTTCATTATAACTGTTACAAACTGCCATTTGTAACTGTTATTTTATTTGACAAATTGCCCTGCTTCCCTGTGTTATGGAGAAGCCTAATTGCCAGCCTTCTGCCCCATGACTATGGACCTAGTGTGTATGGCGATTTGACTGTATTTGTGGGATCTGAGCGCTGTTTGGATATATTGAGCGCTCAGATCCAAGCCATCTGGGGATAGGTTGAATGTGGGGGTTCTGTTCAGTTCAATAGGAGTTATGTATTTTTGTGTCTTTTTGTGTCTTTTGCTAACATGTGGTTAATGGAGTCTGCCTCTATCCCTGGATAATTGGATTACTTTCCCCATTGTCCAGGATAGAGGCCTCTGTAAAACCGGTTTGGGCCAGAAAACCATGCTGCCAGCCAGGCCCCAAAAGACACTTTTGCTAACTTTTGAACCCCTTGTCTGATTTGTGCCATTTTTTAATATGTTGCTCCCCTGAATGGATTGATTCTAAATATGTAATTTTATGAAGATTGTATGTGTAGTTTGAAAGTTATAGTACAGGTATAAAAACTGTATTTTTACTGCCTGTGTTTAATTATGTTAACCCATTGTGTGCCATAATTAGATCACAGGCAGAGGGGAGGATTTTTGTGTGTAATTGCTGGGAGTGTTTCTGTAATGTACGTTTATGATTGGTTATTCTGTAAACCCCTGTGGGTGGTCCTATCTCAGGGAAACCTGCATAAAAGAAGGCCCTTTGGTGCCAAGTAAACAGTTCTTCTTGATCCCTCTAAACGTAGCCTTGTCTTGTTATTGGAGGGAGCTGTTATAATCACACTGGGGATTGCTATGCTCTGCATGCTCCTCTGAGCTTGAGTCACTTAGCTCTTTTAAGAGCTTGTTCCTGACACGCTCTCCTTGGAGGAGGGGTCTTTCCCACACAGTCCTGGAGGACAGAAGCTGATCCAGGGTGGAAGGAAGACGGCGAGACTCCAGTCAAGATACGGCGGTTGTGGAGTCTGCGGTGGTTGTGGTGTCTGCTGCACTGCTTGGAGTCCTCAGGAAGCGCTAGGAGCATCCGTCAACGGAGGGTACTCAGTCGGAGTACAAGGAGCTCCGTTACAATAACCTTGGCTGAATTGGACATAAAGATTTGGAATGATTTGAATTTCTAGAGTAGTGATGTACCTGTTTAGAATTATAGAAACCTTGCGTGAGAAAACTGGAAACCAAATTGAGATCCAGGTCTAACAGAATAAATAGAAATATGTAGATAACCTAAGGAGGTTGCTTATGTTACAGGTAAAATATAGTAATATTCTTTAACCTCGACTTAAAAGGAGGTAAGGAGTCTGAATGATTTGAACAAATAGGAGTAGTAATGTACCTTTTTAGAATTATAGGCAAAGAATTGAGCAGTGAGACTGCAGGGGCATTATTTATACACCAAAACTGCTTCATTAAGTTAATGTTGTTTTGGTGGCTATAGTATCTCTTTATGGTAGAAAAAGTGAACAACTATAACAATTATTGACAGGGTGCAAAGTTCCAGGATATGTAAATTTTTACATTTTGTTTTATATTTAAGGTTTCAGAAAAAGACATTTGATAATTATAGGGTATAGGTAAACATAATGTTAAAAATCCTTGGGAAGTACTAGTTGTCCTTGAAAGTATACACAGGGAGAGGTCAGTGCAGTCTTCAAGTGAAGATACTTCTAATAAACCAGGTCCCCAAGGCAAGACATGTTTCACGCTGCCGGCCGGCACTTACCATCTGCAATGCACCCGTGGCGTCCTCGAAGCAAGTCCTTGAGGGCTGTGGCACTCGCGGCTCCCAGCTGTCTGAATCCGGTGTCCACGCCAAGCTCCACTATGGTGCAATTACAGCTTGCGTGCCATGCATGCTTGGAGAGCAGATTGGAGGAGCTGTGACATGGCAAAGATAACGCTAAGGCCCAGCTCCTCCTTTATAGAAAGGAGGGCTCTGCCTGCAGGGAATGGGGGCCGGTCGCATGACTAGGTCTCCCTATAAATTCCCAAGCTCCGCACTAGGTCAGTGCTTGGTTGTTCTGGTGCTTGTACAAACACAAAGCTAAAGCACTGCGCTTACAGCAGCAGTAGCTTAGTATCCAATAGCTTAAAATACATAGTAAAAACAAAGAGGTAACGTTCTCTTTGTTTTTACTATGTTCTGGTGCTTGACCCAGTCTCATAGCGTCCTGGCTCTTGATTCTTAATTCCAGATTATTTTTCTGGTGAATTTCCTGGCTTTTGACCTTCAACGTGAATTTGGACTACGCTCCCCAGCTACCTTCCTTGACCATTAGACTGCTTGTCTTTGCTTCCTGCCTGACCCTCTCTGGTTTTATCGCTTCCGTAAGTAAAGGCACTCATGCCCTCAGAGATTTCCCAGGTTCCTGTATCACTCTGAGGCACCTCAGAAGGTCATGTTTGTAATGGGTTGCCTTTCCACTGCAAGTGAGTTTCTCTCCAAACAAATGCAACCCGTAGGTTGTCACAATAATGGGTCATAACACTGACTCCTCAATAGATTAAAAGAGGGAAAATAAGAAGAAAGTGGAACTGCTGAAAGAACGGTTTCACTGGGTTCGGCCGGGCACTGCTCTTTGCCCCCACTATCTCAGCCCCTGACTGCCCTCCAGAGCCCTGCTAGATCAATGCCTGAGAGCATCAACTAATGTTTAACAGTGTAGGTTGTGCTACACTCACAACATGCAGGGTAGGTATGACTAGGACTGCAAGAACAAAGTGATTTGATTCCTAAATGGCAGTGAATTAAAAGGCGGCATGATCTACACACCAAAACCACTCATCTAAGTTAAAGTTGTTTTGGTGCTCATATTGACCCTTTAATGTTATCAAAAATTGTCAGAAATTTGGGTTTCTTTTTTTGCTTAAAAATGGGATTCATTTGCATCCAACACAATAAATGTGGTAAGATTTTCCAGTTTACTATTAAACACAGCCTACATATAGTTTTTAATTATCTTTAAAATGCTGTTGAAAAAAGCAGGGAACCATGACTATCATAGAACACAGAAGGAGCAGAACCCCCGAAGGGTCCTTGAAAGAGTTGTGAAAAGTAGACTGTGTCTGCAGAAAGATAAATTAAAAAATTTAACTATTTTTTTTGCAGTTTTACCATTAGAAGGCTCTAAAAGAACCACGACTGACAACCCAACACAGATTTAACACATTTACCAAGTTTTAAAACTTTTATTAAGCAGTAAACTGAAATAATAATGTCATATAAATTGAATTAGAGCATGCTGCTGTTTTTTTTTTTTTTTTAAAACGGGTGCAATTCTAAGACTGATTTGCATCAAGTTATTCATGATTCCTCTGACGGGTAATATGGGAAGATACGCATTATTTCCCATAATCAGAAAATTTGACAAGACTAGATTGGCAAGTATTTTAGGAACCAGCATCATTAATGCCCTTAAAAAAAAAAAAATCAATATTGAGTAATGAGTTTGAGAGTCTATAGAGATAGTATATAGAAGATTAAAAAAAAAAATCAGAGTGATCCAATAGAAGACCAAGCTTTTTGGTTTTAGGATGGGGTTTGATTTATTACGTCTGCCAGACCAAGGATTGGCTCAGGAAAACTAACAGAAGCTTGTAAGATGGAGCTTCCGGCTGTCCTTGAGACAGAAAAGAGGTGAGAACCGGCTCCCTGCAGAGCTCAGGTAAGACTTTAAACCATTACTAAACATAGGGGACTTTTTATTGAGTCAAAGAGGACGGGTCAGGATTACTCTGCAGTGGTTGACTAAAGTAATTACAACCCACTGTGCTTCCGCACTTGTGCACTATACTTCAAGTGATGAATGCCTTGTTGGTCTCATTGTAAATGCTCATTCTGTTACAAGGGGCTCTATGTAGTATACAGCAGTACTTATATTACTATTATAATTTCTCGGTTAAAGGTCCCAAATACGAGGACATTAAGCGTTGTTTCATGGAGTCAAACTCTGTAAAAAGCTAGGAAGCGCTACAGTAGCTGACTGGTACACAGCCACTACAGGCAGCCTTAACCCTGCAATGTTAACGTAGTTTCTTTGAAACTGAAAGTTATCATCTGCAGGGCTAAAATGATAGCGTCATTGCCCCAGATCACTTCAATGAGTTGAAGTGGTCTCGGTACCTATAGTGTCCCTTTAATTTCTGTGTGTAATTTATTGTATCTAAATCTTGTGTAAGATATCAGCCCATGTTTGTGCTTAATGAAAAATGATGCTGCTCTATCACTTGTATAATGGCTATATTAACGCTGTATTGTATGTGCAGCAATAAAGTATTTAAAAATATATATCCACTAATCAAACCATTAAAGTGCACTTGTAAGGAAAACAGGGCAGCACTTATGAGACGTATGAACCCCATGCTCACTGTGCTTAGAGGGGTTGCAGTAGCTCTCGTGCAGAGGGAACTTGATGACATTTCGGATATGGAAAGGTTGGTGGCTGGAACCGCACTCAATCCCAGCTGCCACAGGTGCTCCGGAGCAGGACCAGCAATCCCAATACGACAAGGCAAACCAAAGAACGCACAGGCACTCCAAGAGTAAAGCCGCAGACAGGTTTACTGCAACAAAATGCACAGCAACGTTTTGACCTTGACAAAGACCTCTAGTCAGGTCGAAACGTTGCTGTGCATTTTGTTGCAATAAACCTGCCTGCGGCTTTACACTTGGAGTGTCTTTGAGTTTTTTGGTTTGCCATATCGGATATGGAGTGACTTTCTGGGCAGGTTGAGTCTGATATGTAAATGGTATAGGTTCTCTCTCCGTTGTGTTCCTCGGCATACAAACCAGGCCTTAAAAGTTACTCGCCACTGCACAAGGCACAACATATTCACCAGGGATGAACTTCCTCTCAATAAGACCATTTTTACTCTCCAATGGCTAGTGGAAATCTTAAGAAATATATATATTTTTTTTGTTAATTTAAATATAAAATGCAGGTCAAGTAGTAATTTAAGTGTTGAGGTTGGAATGACTTCATGCATTCATTTGTTCCCTATATACAGGATGCGTGGACACAATGGACGGTGAAATATAAAAATAGTTGAAAAGAAAAAACGGTGAAAAGTACTAAAATCTCTATAGTTGCACTGGTTTTCAGTACAGACACTGTTTATAAATAGGAAAAATGAGGGGATGGACTTTTGGCGCCTGTGCTTTGTACATGTGGCAGCTTGGTCTTCCCTAACCAGATTCTCTTCTTTCTGGTGGTGTAGTTGGATTGCAGAAACGGGTGCGGGGAGACAGCACCTGTAGAATCGTTCTCAGATCCAGTGATATATGGAATGAACAAAGAAACTTAATATAGTGTAGTATATTAAAAATCTTGGTGGAGTATAAATAACAGAAATGCACTTACAATTTTCTGGAGCTAATGTTCAGCTCCAGATTGATGTGCATGGACGGAACAATCCCCGTCTGTGGATATAATGGTAGATCCAGGTACTTCTTGGTGAGTTTTTTGTTCTCAGGCTGTGAATTGTTGTACCACTGGTCGGCAGTCAGATGTCCTCAGTATACAGGGAAGATAAAAACAGACCACCCAAACCTTATAGGATTGAGCAATACCTGTATTTGCTCTCTGTTTGGGAGTATATTTTATTCCTTTTTTTTTTTTTAATCAGCTCATTACATACAGAGAGCACTATAGTCTGTTTTTATCTTCCCTGTATACTGAGGACATCTGACTGCCGACCAGTGGTACAACAATTCACAGCCTGAGAACAAAAAAACTCACCAAGAAGTACCTGGATCTACCATTATATCCACAGACGGGGATTATTTCATCCATGCACATCAATCTGGAGCTGAACATAAGCTCCAGAAAATTGTAAGTGCATTTCTGTTATCTATACTCCACCAAGATACTACACTATATTAAGTTTCTTTGTTCATTCCATATATCACTGGATCTGAGAACAATTCTCCAGGCGCTGTCTCCCCGCAACCCTTTCTGCAATCCAACTGTTTATAAATAGCCTCTAAAGTAATAAGGAAGCATACTTATGTGTGAACAGCCAACAACATAAACCTGGATTAAGATTTAAGGTAAGTAATATAAATTGATCTATTTTATCAACATTTCCTGAAACAGTGCAGTAATCTCAAAAGAAGAATTCTGGGACAACGTGGAGTCATCACCATGGAACCCAATGATGCTAGGTGCTAATAGTCTGTATCATCAATATAGACGGCACATCAGCTTTAAAAGATATTAACAGGGTTATTTACTAAGGTGAGAAATGTGAGGAATTCAAAAGTGAATTCTGAGTGAATTCCACATTTAAGGCCAAAATAGCCAAATTGGAAAATCTCTCCAAGGTTGACAATTTTGGTGTAAATTTTGAATTCCTGACAATTCTTACTTTAGTGAATAACCCTAACAAATAAAAGAATAAGAACAGAAACACAATGACTTCAGAAATACATTGATACCATAAAGATGTTAGCTAATCTGAGCTTTCAAGGCTTCAAATTTTTGTTTACTAAAATTAATAAAATCTATAAAGCACACAACATGGCGGCTCTGCAGTGGGAACATGAATGCCGAACTTTGCCTACAATTTTCATTGTTAATCTGCATGGTAGAATCTCCTTCATCTCGGACAAACTATTGTGATCCTGTCTCAAAAAAAAAAGAACTCAAGCAGACAAAGTAGAAAACAATATTTATACAAACCAGCCCTAGAAAGGAGAACATTATAAACTATGCTCAAAAAAATAAAAAAAAAATAAAGATTTTTTTTGCTTCAGAACATCCAATTGTTTTGTTTCCATAACAGGAGATACAAAACTTGACAATCATTCAATCGTCTGACACAAGAAGATGCCTTCACTTGCATTTACAACTATAAAAATAAATATAAAAAAAGTGAAGTTCCCCAACGTGGAAGGTCTCAAATGTAGGCCTCCTTCCTGACACCGTCTTTACACAATGGCATATTGCTCGTATAAAAGTTCTCTTATCCTAAAAAAGTCTTCACAAAGACATCCCTCTAAGCCAATCCGTCCAGTTTCAGTCTGGGGAGAGAAACGAAAAAAAAAAAAACACTTTGTTAAAAATAGGTAATAAATATAAAATCAAAAGCGTTATCAGTGCAGGGCAGGTTTTCAAGGACTCACAATTTATTTATTGGTGTACATATTAAAAAAAACATGTAATATAGCAAATGTAGATTATCAATGCTTTGTGGAAGTGTGGTTGCTTCCTATCAACACTAAAATCACACAAATTGAAGGAAAAGAAAAAAAACAGTGTGTTGCTCCATTTTCTTTTACAATGTATAGTAAAGATTTAGCAAGAGACACATTCCAGTTAAGTTTAGACTCATCAAGGCACACAATGCAAATGAGAACAGAAACACTGCTTCAGTTTGTCTTTTCTCTGATTTGTGGAATAAGAGAAAAGGCCTAGCTTTAGAACAAATGATCACAGCTTGCCAAATACGGGGTGCCAAAATGGAGGCACTCTGTTCTATGATAGAGAAAATTGGATTTCTGCATTTAATTTAATTTTTCGGACATAAGAAAACATATTTGCCAAATATAGGAGATAAAGAAACATTAAATTAATACAGCTAAATGACAGTTCTCCTTTAAAGCAGAATTTCCAATCATGAAATACAGCTGCCCTCCAGCAAAGCATGGAGATCGGATATGACCATACAAATTACCTGCTACAGCAACAATGCATACTTGAAGTGGCATCACAATTGAGTACACAGAAGATATGTATGCATTTAACAGAAAGCTATTCTATCTACATGTGCAATACTGTCCAAATCTAAAAATGTATACGAAATGATATCCTACACATGTAATAATTAGATTGCCTATTATTTTTACATTTTGCGTCCAAACATTCATGCTTAGGGAGAAATCAGAGAGCTTCCCAACTTCTGTCCCAAGATGTCAGTTTTGACACTTACCCTCCGAACAGCTACCATATTGTTGCAGATAAGCACGCCACCAACAAACTCAGCCTGTATCCCCTCTCGCAGTAGAACTTGCTTAAAATCAGAAAGCCGTGGTTCATTCATAAAGACAGACTGATGTCCTGGAACCTAGAAAACAAATATAAATCAACCATTATGTGAATACAGTGATGGATGTGATCATATCGAAAGACTCCCTATGCATTTCTGGCTGGCTGGCTGACACAATGCAATATGTAGCACAACACCTTGTAATTTACGTTCATCTTTACTTTCTAGAAAACGTGTGGAATGCAACACATTTTTCAAAGTGCCCTTCACTGAACGTGGGTTAACGGGTAGAGTAATTACATGGGCATACCTTCCATAAAGCTTGTCCTGAATGGGATAGATGGATTTCTGTAGATACACACCTGTCTGCATGTGGACTTTAGTGACTTATTGTTCAAGTATCAAATGGGAATAGTTGATAAACAAATGTAAAAATTCAGGCTACAGGTACGCAGTGTTACTGAAATCTCTGAAACAACAAACCCTAAGGTCTGTACTGTATTGCATGCAAAGGATCTACCAAATACAGGGAATAAAATATGCTGGATCCCATGGTTATCAGAATCTCCTAGTTCCTAGGTGGAGAAAAAGTAGCTTGACAGTTATTTTGGAGCTAAAGCTTGCATAATGCTTTGACAGAGTTTGGAACATGAGCCATTATTTATTTTGAAAAGGACAGATAAAGCAGGATAAAACAGTCCTAGTAATTACCTCATTACTTGGTAATGGCTCAAGAGTCGGGATGATCTCACTTTCCTCGGTGAAGTCTTTGTCATCATCGCCAAAGAGGCTCTTTATCACTTTCTGCTGAGCAATGATATTGGCATCTGTTCCAGGAGCGTCCACTTGCATTTCTGAGTCCTCTCCGTCATCCTTCAACTCTCCCTCCTCCAGGATGACACCTGTGTCCACCTTAGACACCCGCATGTCCAGAACTCCATCAATCCACGCTAATTCAGTGTCCTTGGCTTTGCAGAACTTAAGAGAGCTGACTAAAGAGTCCTTCAGTCGAACCTATATGTAGAAAAAAATATATATATTAACATACAATGTGAGCAAGATATTACTTTGCTGCAGAGGGATTTAGATAGACTGGGCACTCAAATAGCAGATGAAATTTAATGTTGAAAAATGCAAAGTTATGCACTTCGGCGTAAAGAATACACAAGCAACGTATACCCTTAATGGAAGCGAATTAGGGATAACAACACATGAAAAGGACTTGGGAATTGTTATAGACAACAAACTATGCAACAATGTGCAATGTCAATCAGCAGTGGCCAAGGCCAGTAAGGTATTGTCATGCATGAAAAAGGGCATTCATTCTCGGGACAAGAATATAATTTTGCCTCTTTATAAATCACTGGTAAAACCCCATATTGAATATGCTGTGCAATTTTGGGCACCTGTTCTAAAGAAGGATATTATGGCACTAGAAAAAGTGCAGAGGCGGGCTACAAAATTAATAAAAGGAATGGAACATATCGGCTATGAAGAAAGGTTAACAAATTTAAACCTATTTAGTTTAGAAAAACGTCGCCTGAGAGGGGATATGATAACATTATACAAATATATTCGGGGCCAATACAAACCATTGTGTGGAAATCTATTCACAAACCGGACTTTACATAGGACACGAGGCCATGCGTTTAGACTGGAAGAAAGAAGATTTCGTCTAAGGCAAAGGAAAGGTTTTTTTACTGTAAGAACAATCAGGATGTGGAATTCTCTGCCTGAAGAAGTGGTTTTATCAGAGTCCATACAGATGTTCAAACGGCTACTAGATGCATACTTGCAAGAACAGAATATTCAAGGATATAATCTTTCAATGTAGGGTAATAACTGCTTGATCCAAGGATAAATCTGACTGCCATTCTGGGGTCAAGAAGGAATTTTTTTCCTAGCTTGTTGCAAAATTGTGCTTCAAACTGGGTTTTTTTGCCTTCTTTTGGATCAACAGCAAAAAACAAATGTGAGGAAGGCTGAACTTGATGGACGCAAGTCTCTTTTCAGCTATGTAACTATGTAACTATACAACCTAAAATATTAAAGAAATGCACACTAAATGTTCAATAGAAAACAGACCAAAATATACCGCAGGGGGGGGGCGTGGCTTGGAGGCCGAGGAAGATGGCGGCGTAAACCCGGAGCTCCCCAACAAGTTCAGCTAAAATCCTCATCACGGCACCTGAAAACCATCGCATATAACCAAGCCAACCGACACGCCGAAGGGCACAGCTGCCGCCTCGCTACGGCAATTCCTAGTGACTCCCACAGACATAGCCGCGAGGGGCTCCACCACCTCGGAGATCGCTGATGAAGCCATGAAGCGGCCGCCAGGCGATGCAGGCCCAGACCTCCCCGGTCCCCCAACCAGACTGGGTACAGTTGATCCAGGCACTCCCGACAAGGCAAGACCTGAAGGTGGCTAACTCGGAGCTACGAGCCTCCATCACAGCGGAACTACATTCCCTTCGGGAAGACATCCAGGGTCTACATACCAAAGTATCTCAATTGGAAGCAGACTGTGACCACTTGTCCTCCGCCAAGTCTGCAAACACCGACGCAATCTACCACCACACAACACAAATGGCCCTACACATGGAGGAGACCTGGACAACCGAGGCAGGCACCAAAACATCAGGGTACGCGGCATTCTAGAAGACCTAGATCAATCCACACCGATAACAGATACCCTCAGATAAATGTTCAACAAGATCCTGGGCTGCCCAGCGACCACCGACATCGAGTTTGTCAGAGCACACCGTGCACTGAGACCAAGGGGTCCACCGGAGGCTCCCCCAAGGGACACTATTTGGTGCCTGGCCAGTTTCCGAATAAAGGAAGAGATCCTTCAGAAAGCGCGAGGCACAGAAAGGGTGACGCTAAATGGAGTGGAAATACAGTTGTATCCTGATCCTGATCCTACCCTGGCATACCGACGGGTGATGAGGCCCCTCACGAGAATCCTCCAAACCAACAAAATCAGGTATCGGTAGACCTTCCCGACCGGGCTACAGGCCATCACAACAAAGGGGCTTTTTACAGTCCAACACCCGGAGGACCTGAGCGATCTCGTAACTACAACTTCCACCCATCAACATGACATGGCCGGACCCCCTTACCTTCTACATGGCACCTCCGTTGACCCAGGGGCTCCCGCCATAGCCACACAGAAGCAGAGGGTCCCGACAACAAGCCACCCGACCCTCCGGGACGGCGGCATAAAGGACTAATGTCAGCAGCTGCAGCACATAACCACAAGTACCAACAACCGGGACACTCTCTCCAATAGGGGTACCAGCACCCTTATGGACATTTTGGGGATCAGGACCACAACAGGCTAAGAGAAAGGGGGGAGGGCGAGAACGGGAGGGGGTCCACCTGGCTACCATAATCAGGGGGGGGGGGATTGGGGACACACACAAAAGGGGCACGCAAGCAGACTCAAAATAAATAACGAAAGGGGAAGATATCACAGGCAGACAGCAGGGGTAGCCAACTGCCTAGCTAGACACCTAAGTGTATCGACACTACAGGAACAAGCTTCTACCAAAGGGGCTGCTGCACTCACCCGAGTATGATTCTAAATCAATATACTTATAAAAAAGGATGGACAACCACAGCAAAACACGGTGAGGAGGGGGTCCTGACAGTACATGCCTAAACTCAGTGTACAAACCCGCCAAATAGGGACCGGTCTCAGGAAGCACCGACCCCACCCTTGGCACACACACCGCAACCGATACCAATGGGTAGATGGACCGAAGGGCACGAGGGGGTTGTGCCCCGGCACTTACTTAGGACTGGGCTCCGCCGCTGGGGCCTTGGCTGCCCTGTGATGACCCAGCCGAGCAGGGGGCGGCCCCCACCGGGGGGACTCACTCACACACGGAGAGCGAGCGGGAGGGGGAAAAGAAGGGGAAGGCGCTCTAGGAGGGAGGCCAGGGCCACCGACCCGCAGGTAAACCCGCCTGAGACCCACTGGGTAGAATAGGGCCCCCCAGGCCCACTCACACCGGACCGCTGCCACCAGCTCGCTCAAACACAGATCTGACTCACGACGGGGATAGAGGAGAGCTGGAAGAGGAAGGAGAGGAGCCCCCTAAAGGTGATGAGGGACCCGTACTGAGGGCTAGGGCGCAGGAGCCGGAGGGGGAAGAAAATAGGAATGATGGCCATGCGCACAGATATGAACATAATCGAGTTATAATGCACGCAACTGCACAATACTAGCTGGATTGCAGCTTAATGTTTGGAAAGATTTGCTTAATTGCTTAACTGTTCTGTTATACAATTTTTGTATGCATGTGCACACGACAAGCACCCGAGACGGCACTGTGACCTACGACCCGGAGCCCAACATATATGATCTCCACTGATGAGGATCTTAATAATGACCCGAACTCAACAGACAGAGCCGACAGGGGACCTACACGGACCTGATGGACCGAGACACGCAACAAAGTTACACACCAACCACCGACACACACGCAGACACGGGGAGGACTGGTACCACCTGGAGTCCCTTGGCTTCCTTCTACAACCCCACAGAGCACAGCGACCTAAGAAAGGTGAGCAGAAACCGCGGACCACAGGTGGCCGCGGGCTTAATTGCTCCCAGTCACTTTATAGTGACGAGAACATATAAACACACATCCCATAACCCTCCCCACCCTACAACCCCCACCCGACCAACAACCAACGGACCCATTCACCCTACGAACCCCAGACTAGACCTGAAGAACGAATGACGCGGCCACCCCTGCACATGGACACAAGGGCATTAGTGCCGGACTGCCTCACTGTCCTCTCCATAAACGCCAGAGGCCTCAACAAACCGGAGAGGTGCTCAGGAGCGCTGAGAGACTTCCACGCCAAACGAGCCTCGATAGTCTTAATCCAAGAGACACACTTTAAGGAAGGGTCCAGGCCCAAAATGACTAACCATCACCACCCGACGGGATATTACAGCGACTACCATGCAGGGAGGTCAAGAGGCACGGCCATCCTAGTTAACAAAGAGATACCTTTTGTATAAACAGGACAGATGACAGACAGGGAGGGTAGATTCCTTTTCCTCAAAGGCACAATTGCAGGACAGGTCTATATATTCGCAAACATCTACGCCCCAAACAACCGACAATACAGATTCCTGGCACACACACTTCAGAAACTACAGCTCTTCACGGGGGGAATCCTCATTGTGGGGGGAGACTTCAACGTAGCACTCAATCAGCGGTGGGACACCTCCTCCGGACACTCGTGGGTCTCGACACAAAACCTGAACTCAATAAAAACCCTTCTGACTTGTCACAAACTGATAGACTGCTGGAGGGCCTACCACCCAGATGAGAAGGACTACACCTTCTTCTCACACCACACATATACTAGACTGGACTACCTCTTTACCTCACACTATCATCTACCAATAACACGCGATGCAGAGCACGGGGTGGCGACATGGTCAGACCACGCGCCGGTACTCCTGACACTCTCGCCCCCCCCCTATACAAACCCCAGTTCAACAAATGGAGACTAAATGAATATCTCCTAACCAGACCCGACTTCACAACCGATATCAAGGAAGCGCTCAAAGATTACTTTGAGACGAACACTGCCAAACAAATCTCGCCCACCATTAGATGGGAGGCCCACAAAAGCGTAATTCGCGGACACTTCATCCGCCAGGGCACCATCCTTAAAAAGCAGACCGACAGCTGCCTGACAGAACTAGTGACGGAAATACAAAGGGTAGAAGCACTTAAAAGCACACAACAGGCGACGCACCAGGCGACACTACTACATCTAAGCCGGGAGCTGACGGGCCTTTTACATAGGAAACACCATAGAGAAGTAATTAGGCACAAGGCTTTTTTCCAGCTCCACGGCAAGAGAGGCAAACTGTTTACCAGAATGCTAGTCAAACAAAGACAAAGGACATACATTGACAAAATGAGAGACACACGAGGCACCCTACACCACTTCTATCCCCCCTGCTCTTTGTGCTGACACTCGAGCCCTTTCTGACATACATACAACACTACGCAGCTATTAGGGGTATTGGAAAGGGAGACACGCAACACAAGGTTGCGCATATGCTGACGACCTCCTTTTCTTCGTCACCAACCCGGACATCTCACTTCCGAATATCCTGAAGGCCTTTAGGACCTTCGTGGAGATATCCAACCTTAAAATCAACTTCACAAAATCCTATATCTTGAATGTTAGTATACCCGAACACAGAGCCACCCCTTTGAAGCAGAGCCACACATTCCAATGGGCGCAACACAAGATACAGTACCTAGGCAAATGGTTGACGAAGAGCGAAAAGGACCTATTCAGAGAAAATGTTATCCCCCTGCTAGACAGGTTCCGGAAAGACCTGTTGGATTGGGCGTACCCACACATATCATGGCTAGGCAGGATCCAGGTAATAAAAATGAACCTGCTCCCACGCCTGCTATACCTCATGCAAGCCCTACCCATAACCATCCCCAGATCATTTTTTCAGACCCAGAGACAAGCAACGGGGAAATACGTATGGGACAACAGGAGACAGAGAGTTAGGATGACTGCACTGATGCTACCCAAAGACAGGGGAGCCATGCCAGACTTTACCCTGTACTATGAATCCTGCCACCTCCAAAGAATTATGGAGTGGACAAAATAGAGAGTGTTCAAGGGATGGAAAGAAATAGAGGAAACGCAAGCGGGAAAACCGCTGTCCACTCTACCATGGCAGAGGAGCGGAGGACAGGGCTCATCCTACACAAATGCAACACTACGTGAGTGGGGGAGAGTAGCAAAGAGATGCGGACCAGCGCCGTTCCCATCCCCCGTGCTCCCCCCAACGCACAATGACAGTTTCCCACTGGTACTAGACACCAACGCATTCAGAGAGCTGCTCCGACACAAGACACCTAGACTACACCACCTCCTGGACGAAACTAATTGCAAAACACTCCCGACCCTATTCGAGGGATCAACCCCCACCCTCCTACACCACCTAAAACACAGACAGCTACAGAACTACGTTCATACTCTCCCGGGGGGCACAGCACGGAAACGGGACCTTACCACATTCGAAGGAATGTGTATGGACCCAGACCCACAACCGCACGGGATCTCACTCATTTACTCCATGCTACAGAGGGAGACCGCAAATGGAGAAACCCAAATTTATAGGGAGATTGGAAAAAACACTGGGGAAAACTTTCACTGACGGAGACTGGGAGAAGATATGTTACTTAACGCATCACTGCTCAGTCTTCAGCAGGACGCAGGAAACGGCGTTCAAACTGCTGACGAAATGGTACCGCACCCCAATCATACTCCATGCCATAGACCCGGAACACACAGACCTCTGCTGAAGGTGCAACCAGGAGGCCGGCACTGAGCTCCACCTATGGTGGGAGTGCGAGGCCATACGGCCCTTTTGGCGGGGCATACAAGGCTTCCTCAAAACCTTCTCAGACACACCACCTCCCTTCCTCCTTGAAAACATGCTCCTACACCACACAAAATCGCCTAGATCATGATACAAACACTTACTAACCATTAGAATCTTAAATGTTGCCAAACAAGTGATCCCTCAATTCTGGAAGCAAACAATAACGGCCCCGTTGACAACTTGGTTCACCCAAATGGAAGAACTCATAGAGGAACTCATCATGAACACATCCAACTCCCCAGACAGGTATATGGAAATATGGACCCACTGTATACTGACTACTACCAAGGCAGAATTCACAAATAGACTCAAATATGACACGTAGACGAGGTGGCGAGGCTGCATAGACTGATAAACTAAGAGACGAAATGGACAGACATAATTCAGACAGAGAGGCACCCTCCTGCCCTCCCCAGACAACTCGACCCTGATACCACATTCTCCACACTACACACAAGCTAACAAGAACAATACACACGGACACACAAGCCCAATGGAATACCACCAACAGGAGGTACACAGGATAGCACCACCAAACCCGAATCCATATAGCCTCTCAGAACCACAACACACAGGGATACGGGAAGAAAGCAACTGCACGCCACTGAATGCCAACAGGGCCAAAACCGCACACCCGAACACCTGAGAACGGGAAACCTAACCTAAGATACAGGGGCAGAAACCAATCCAACAGACACAACACACAATATCTGATGCCTCCACACCTCATCCGTAAGATTGATCCCTACCTTGGGCCTGGTGCCGCAAAAATGGTGACAAGCAAGAGACCTGCGTGTCTCAAGACAGTTTAAATCTCGTCAAATTGACAATGTGCACAATCTGTACCAATGCCTTCTTTACTATGAGACGTATAAAGATATGACTAAAGAGACCTGCGAGTCTCACCGTTACCTCTTACTTGAAAAACAAAATAAAAACCTCATTGACAAAAAAAAATATATATATACCGCAGGGGTTTAAAGGGTCAGCCTTGATGTACAGGTAAACAATTCCTATGGAATCACTTTACAAGCACATTTGAAATAAACCCCCAACAAAAAACACAAACGAAAATGCCCACCTAAAATCATGACACTTGTGGCAGGTATATAAATTGTGCCTACAAAATTGCGGCCAGCGTATACACATTAATACATGTACTTACTTGAAGATTTCTTCCTTCCCATCCAAGAAGGCGACTACACGTATTAAAGAAGTAATTTTTAAAGTAGAACTGTCACTTCCAGAGACTCTGACATGTCCGCTAACTTGTTTGAGGGTAGATATACTATTCTAGACCTCTATCTTTCCAGCACTGCCATGTTCTTCTTGGCCTAGTGCTGGTGAAATCTTTACCCTGCCTTGCTACTACTCTACTTGCCTGTCCCAAGAGTACAAAACAGTTTTCTATGGAAGGACTGCAGGATCTTCCCAAGATTATATCTCCCATGTGCAATGAGATGCCATCGCAATGCCAATTTAATCACTAAACTTGATAATATTTACTTGTTGGCTCCATCTCTTAAGAATTTTTTTAAATTCAATCTACATTCAGCTGCTGGCAACAATTTGATCTCATTACCTGGTATATGTGAGTCTCACTTGTGGCATCCACTGTTTCATGCAGTTTTGGGGTGTACACTTTAATGTCTTTGCCTCCAAATGCTCTGCACGCTTCAGCCAGGTCTTGGCTGGCATCTGGCGGTCCGTGTACAATAACCAGCTGGCGGGGCTTCATCTGGTTAATAATCTTTTTGATTGAGTCGCCATCAGAGCGACCCTCGTAGTCGATGTACGTCACTCGTGCTCTATAATAAAGCACAACGCAGAGATTTGCTCAGAACTGTACTGAGAAATGACATTTACAGATGTAACCAGGATGCTTTGCATTCACAGTCTGAGGAGTATGTATATTGGTATCATATTGATATGCGTATTATAGTGTAGGTTGAAATCTGCACAATGGACTCTCAGAACAGATTGAAAAGATACACAATTTAAATGCATCTTCTTTGCTCTGTTTCAAATATTTCCGTATGCAAATACATGGAACCTTATGCAAATGAGCTGCCTGATTGGCATAATGTCACAGATGGGGTGTAGATGGAGTCTTTTTTACTTCTTAGCTTTCTTGCAGTTCTCCTGTGACAATCTGTAGTTTACGCTATACTAAAAGTTCTCTGTGGGGAGGTCTTTTCTGCTCTTCCTTGTCAGTCAAATCATTGGTATAGTGTCTATACCAAATATTTGACTGAGAGATTGGAGAAAGAGCAATTTTTTTTTTTTTTTGACAATATTTATTTTCAAGTTTTAGCATTTTTTCAAGGAAAGATGTAGTAACGGTATAACGTCAATTTTAACATCAGTTTTCTGAATAGCTTAACAACATTCGTCACCATTGTTTTAACATTCTCAAAACAGTTTTCTCAAACAATATTTCTATAGTTTCCATCACATGCATTAGGTAGTATTATTTAAGGTCAGGTTTCTAGTCTCGTATCCCCCCTAGCCTACAATGCGCAGTTTGTTGCACCTATGGTGTGCGCTCTACGTGTAGGGCGTGAATCGGTGTCTAGTTTGGATGCTGTGGGGGGTAAGTTTTCTGACACGCTACATTTCTCATTTCACGTTTCATACCAACCGTGTCAGGAACCTTTGTGTCGCTTGACATGTATATATATATATATATTGTTGGGCATGGTATAGGGCCACGCTAGCGAGAAAAGGTATCTTTAGTGCCTTAACTCCTCCCCAGACTACTCAGCACTTATTAACATTCAAGGCCATCTTGTCGCCTGGGTGAGAGCAAAGTGTGATGGTTTAGGTTAAGTTCCCCACTATTGTGGGTTGGCAGTTGCTGGTGTATATATTTGTATACCTATCGGTATAGTTTGTCATAAGGGAGGATACTCTAGGTATCAGTCTAGGAGGCCAGGAGGGGATATTTTCATGCCGGTATCAGCTCTAGGTTGGGTCTCGGTTTCCTGTGTATTTTACACCTGTGATTACAGTGGGTGTGCGTATTGGTAAGCCCCATTTACGAGCTCGTCAGAGTCGGTCGTTGGGGTTCAGTCCAATGTCCAGTCTCGGGAAAGGGTCAGGAGGTAGGGGACCTAGGAGGGAGGAGTAGCCGGGTGGCTTAGCTCTGTATGAGTCGGTTTACTGCGGGCCTCTGGGGGGCCGTGTTTGGGTTTGCTAATCTGTTGGCTAGGTATGTTTCCCAAGGGTACCAGGTCAGTGCACATTGCTCCTGTCTACCGTGGAGGTCTGCAGTTAAGGACTCCATTGAGTGGATCTCTTCCACCCTTGTCACCCATTGCTGGAGGGTAGGCGCCCCCCTCTGTTTCCACATCACAGGGATAAGGGCCTTTGCCGCGTTGAGTAGTGGCAGCAAGAGGGATTTCTTATATGTCTTAACGGGTGTGGGGGTGTGGTGTAATAGCATCGTTAGGGGTTCTAGGGTTAGCTCCGCACCTGTGATTCTGTTTATCTCTACCCTGATCCTCTCCCAGAATGTGGTAATCTCGGGGCACTGCCACCAGATGTGGAAGTACGTGCCGGTATGCAAGCCGCATCTCCAGCAGGTGTCCAGGGCACCTACGTTCATGCGATTGAGTACGTCTGGGGTTCTGTACCAGCGTGTTAAAATTTTGTAGTTCAGCTCCTGGTACTTGGAGCTGATAGAGCATTTATGTGTGAGAGTGTAAATCTTGTCCCAGTCTTGCACAGTAAGGACTTCCCCCAAGTCTCTCTCCCAATGATCTTTAAATTTGAGCACCACATCATCGTTAGTTTGGGTCTTGAGTATGGTATGTATAGTGGAGATACCTCTGTGTACGTGTGTTCGGTGTACGCACAGGTGTTCAAAGCTGGTGAGGGGTCTAGTCAGGTGTCCTCGACCATGTAAGGATATGAAGTACGTCTTAACTTGGTGGTATCTGAATTGTTCGAGTATCGTCGGTGGTCTATCTGGGCAGAGGTTTCTGAGTGGTTTATGTCCCTGAGTGTCGAGCCATTGGTGCAGGTACATCCAGTCTGCCTGCTGGAGGCCGGCTAGGTCTTGTGGGGTTAGAGCATCGGCCAGGTCTGGGTTATGTGTGATGGGTGTCAAGGGGCTAGGAGAACTTGTGAGTTGCAGTCGGTAGCGTATAGCTATCCACACTCGGAGCGTGGCGTCGATTAGTGGGTTCTCGGTGTGCAGGTCGGCGTATGTGGCAGTATGTAGCCAAAGCCTAGAGGGTATTTTTCTATCAGTTTGTTCTAGCTCAATGGTCACCCATTGTTTTAATGGGTGTTGTGCGTGCCAGTCCGTCAGTCTGTGCAGGTGGCGGCGCGGTAATATGTCTCTATGGAGGGCAGTCCCGTGCCCCCCATCAATTTTGGTAGTTCCAGGGTTGATTTTTTTATTCGGGTTGGGCGAGAGTTCCAAACGAATCTGCGGATGGCAGTCGTCATAGAGCTAAAAAAGGCTCTGGGGAGAGTAATTGGCACTGTTTGGAATAGGTAGAGTATCCTGGGTAACACGTTCATTTTAATCGCATTGATACGTCCGAACCAGGAGATGTAATATGGGGTCCATTTCTTAAGGTCCGTCTGAAGTGAGAGTAGGAGAGGGTGATAGTTATGGTGGTATAATTGGGACGGGTCCTTGGTCAGCCATATGCCCAAATATTTTAATTTAGTTTCGCACCATTTAAACTTGTATTGGGTGTGAAGGTGTGTTGGGGGGCCTGTAGGGGGTGGGAGGTGGAGAGCCTCGGACTTTTCCGTATTAAGTTTAAGATTAGAGAGTGCCCCAAACTCTCGGAAAGATGCTAGGAGGTTGGGCAGTGAGATCAACGGCTGTGTAAGAAAGAACAGCATATCGTCTGCATATGCGGCTACCCGGTATTCGTGACGACCAAGGTCGAATCCAGAGATTCCCCCATTCCGTCTGACCGCCCCCAGAAATGGTTCCAGGGAGAGGGCAAACAGGAGGGGGGAGAGCGGGCATCCCTGGCGGGTGCCATTCCTGATTGGGAAAGGGGCTGAAAGTGCCCCGTTAATGCGGATCCTCGCAGTGGGGCACGTGTACAGTGAGAGCACCCAGGCCAGCATGTTGGGGCCGAATCCCATGTGTGTAAGGGTACTCCTCAGATACGCCCAGCTCACCCTGTCAAAAGCCTTTTCGGCATCGGTGGAAAGTAGTAGAAGTTCTCTACGGCGCGCTCGTGCTATGTGTAGGATGTTCAGGGCCTTAATCGTGTTGTCTCTCCCTTCCCTACCCGGGATAAACCCCACTTGATCAGAATGTACCAAGTGGGGGAGGTGTTTTGCAACTCTCAGGGCAATGGCTTTTGCGAATAGTTTCAGGTCTGCGTTTAGTAGCGATATGGGGCGGTAGCTCGCGCAATTCGTCGGGTCCTTGCCCTCTTTTGGTATTACAGTAACTATGGCTGCTAACGTGTCTGGGGGAAAGCGCCCCCCCTCCAGTATGGAGTTGAGGCCCAGTAAGAGATTTGGTAATAAGATGTCCCTGAACGTACGTAAGTACATCAGGGGCAGTCCGTCAGGTCCAGGGGCCTTATGGGATTTGGAGATTTTTAGGGCTGCCGCCAGCTCCTCCATGGTGAGGGGTTGGTCTAGGTCGTCCCGCATTTCCGCGGTCAGCTTGTTATCTATATTTTGTTCCAGGAATTCAGTAATTTGGCGGGTCTGTCGTGCGCGGGCAGCGTCAGTGTTGGGTTGGGGGATATTGTATAGGTCCGTGTAGTAGTCTACGAACGCACGCTGAATTCCATCCGGCATTCGGGTTTCAGCTTTGTCACTGGGCTTAATTTTGTGTATGTGGCTCGCCATCCGACGATCACGGAGCTGGCGGGCTAGCAGTCTGCCACTTTTGTCCGAGTGCTCAAAAAAGAACCGGGCCGATTTTCTAAGGGTGCGTAGGAGACCCTGAGCTAGTATGTCCCTTCTCTGTCTCCGGGGCGCTGTTAGATGGAGGAACGTGTCCTCGTCCTGACTTTGTTTATGAGCTTGCTCTAGGTTGGCTATTTGAGTGTTTAATGTTATCAGCTGTCGTGTATGTTCTTTCTTCCGTTGTGTACAGACCTTAATATAGTGTCCCCGTACTACACACTTATGTGCTTCCCACACCGTCAAGGGCGAGACATCGGAGGTTGTGTTAGTGTCGAAGTATTGTGTTAGAGTTTGCCTAACCGGGTCAGTGTCACCCAGGTTAAGCAACATATTCTCATTTAGTGCCTTTCCGCTGGTTTGTGTAGTGGGGATTGGATCTGGACTGAGACCGGGGCATGATCGGACTCCGCCATCAGGCCTATGCTAGCCTTGCGGAGTAGTGTCAGGGCTTCCTGTGCCATAAAGATATAGTCAATCCGACTGTATCTCTGATGTACAGCTGAGAAATAGGAATAGTCCCTGCCATCGGGATGCGCCGCCCTCCAGCAATCCACTAGTCCACTCCTTGTCAGAGCTCTCCCGACTGCGCGTATGCAATGACCTGGTATTGAGCTTTCTCCCCTTGAGGTGTCTAATCTGGCGTCTAACGGAATGTTAAGATCTCCTGCCATAATTAGTAAGCCCTCTCTGAACTTGTTGAGCAAAGTGAGTGTTTTATTTAGGAAGACATGTTGGTTACGGTTCGGTGTATAGAGGCATGCGAATGTGTAGAGCTGTTGTGCTATGGTTCCTTTAATGAATAAGTATCTACCGCCTGGATCTATTCGTTGCTCTGTGCATACGAACGGGACAGTATGTGAAAAGAGGATCGCCACCCCCGCTTTTTTTTGGTCGGCATGGTTGGAGTAATAACCTGTGGGGAACCTTCTGTTTTTCAGGGTGGGGGCCTCCACGCCTTTAAGATGCGTTTCCTGCAAAAACGCCACCGAGATGCGTTCCGCCCAGAGAGTACTGAGTAGCTGAGACCGCTTCTCGGGTACGTTTAGACCTCTAACGTTGTTCGACCACAGGTTAAGCGGTGCCGGCACATAGTTAGTGCCCATCCCTAGCTGTGCGTGGGAAGGGGTATGGGTATGTCAGAGTATCACGGGGTAAGGTTCGGGGGGGGGGAAGTAGGGTAGTCCAGTCAAAGTCAGGGCAGGTTAGTGGGTCGGGATCTAGGTGACTACGACTCGCCTCGGGGTCAGTCGCTTCCCAGTGTCTATTCCCTTCGGGGTATGTCACCAGAGTAGCCCCCGAGGGTTTGTACAGTGTGAGTCTGTCACGTGAGGTACGTGGGTCGTCCGTTCTTGGGTGAACCGTCGTCTGAATCGCACTGCTCTCACGGCACCCAGCCCACTGTATTGGTTTAATTGGAATTTTCCCTGTGGGTATGGTGAAGTAGTACGAGGGTACCCCCTCCCATTATCCATTTTCCTCTCTGTTCTTGAGGGTCTGAGTAATGCGTGTCTAGTCGATAATCGGGCCCTGTAGCTACCTAACTGGTCCGGCCTCCCCGGGTGTCCCCGCCCCGGCCTAGCCCCCCCGGCTTCATGGGTTCAGGTGTGTTACCAGCCCCCTTGTGTAGGTGTGTGCCCCCCTAGGAGTGGTATAGAGCATGTGAACTTAAACAATAACAAGAACAAGTACAACTGTAAATACCAAACCACCGCCTCTGGCGTTCCCCGCTCCCCCCTCCCAAGGAACCATACCCCCCTCCTCTGCTCCCTATTCCAGCTGGGGGAAGTGGTGTCCTCTCCTGCCTGTTGGCTCGCTAGTCCCTTCGGGGGATGGGCGGAGCTTGAGTCCCGGGGCCCTCTGGGACATCATGGGACTGTCCAGACTTTATCCTGGGGTGCCATTCAAGTAGTTGGAGTCCGCCAATGCCTCCCCTCTACCCCAACCACCCAAAAGGGGGGATTCTATGGGCAAGAGCCCGAGTCTGTATAAATCTGGGGGGGATCCCCTCCATGTCATCATCGTCCCCGGGTGGTACCCGATCCCCATAAATCCCACCACCCCAAGAAATATGTGGCCCTCCATTGTCTCAAGTCCCAGCAACTCTGACTTGTGCGTAACTGCTACGGGCCCAGGGTAGGGGTATAAGTACATACCCAGCGGTGTGTCAGCTTCTGCTTACGGAGGTTGTTTCTTCGCATCAACCTTGGGGGAGCGGTCCGGTGGTCTGTCTCACTGCGGCGTAGTTTCTGGGGTTGAATGGGGGTGTGAAAACTGGGGTATACCTCCGTCGGTGGGTGCGCCGGTCGCTGCCCCCTAGGGCTCTTGAATCTGCTATTCTTCATGGCTATCCGGGCCGCCTCTGCGGAACCCAGTTCCTGTAAGGCCCGTACCCGGCCTGATATTTGGAGCGTTTGGGCGTTGCGGCTGTCTCTCCAGGACCCAATTTGGGACTGCCACTGCTGGGAGGTTCGCGGCTCGGAGGAAGCGTGGCACGTCAGCTGGCCAGCATATGATATGCCATATGTTGCTCACCTTTGCCTGTAAGCTAAAGGGGAATCCCCATTTGTATTGTATCCGCCGTTCTCTAAGCAGGGTGGTTAGCAGTCTCAGTGCCCTTCTCGCTTCCAGGGTGAGTACTGAGAGATTCTGATATAGTGAAATCTGGGCGTCCATGTAGGTGAGGTTCTGTTGATTTCTTGCTTCCCTCATGATTTCGTCCTTCAACGAGTAGGAGAGCAGGTAGCAGATTACGTCTCTAGGCGGTCCCTCAGCGGACACGGGGCGCAGGGCTCTGTGTGCACGTTCTATTCCAAAGTCTGCTGGGGCTCTGTCCCCTAATATGTGTGTGAACAGGCCCAGCAGGAGCTCTGGTAGTGCTTCCCCTGCTGTTTCAGGGAGTCCCCTGACGCGGATGTTGTTCCTCTGTCCGCGGTTGTCCAAATCTTCCAGATTCCTTCTTAACTCCAGCAGGACATTGCCTTGTCTAATAGTGGCTGTGTCTGTGGCTTGGCGGTGTTGTATTATTTGGGCACGTTCTGCCTCTAGTTCCTCCACCCTGCGTTCCAGTGCTGTCAGGTCTCTCCTCACCTCCATGACCTCCTCTCTGATTACTGCCCTAATTTCAGCCAGCAGGTCCGTCTTATCTGCCTTGGACATCATGTTTGCAGATATTGTGGCCAGGTCTGCTGCAATTTGGGTCAGTGACTCCTCTCTGGCTGGGCCTGTTGCTGGGCTGTCTGAGCTGCTGGCGTCTGGTGAGGGCGGCGCCATTTTGGCCGCGGCCTGGTGCGCCCGCATGTCTCGCGGCGTTCCGAGGTACCCGTCCATGGGACCCGCTGTGCGGCTCGGTGAGCCCGTTTGTGAGGGGCCAGGGGTGAGTAGCCTCTTTGTCTTACCCATCTCGGGTCAATTCGTGCTCGTTTATCGGTGCGGTAGTGAGCTGGGGCCTAGGAGCTGCAAGGAGATGCGTCTCACTCCATACCCGGTCAGGCCACGCCCCCCAAGAGCAATTTTTTAACCGTGTTTCTCCCAATCTATACATTTCGAGAAAATCTGCTAGCCAATGTAAAGATAAACTCTATTGACCTTTCAAAAGAGCATAAGTAATTTAGGGCATAACAGGTTTCATTTAAAGATAGGTTTAAAGAATGCCCTTAATCATAAAATGTACTCTTGAATGTTTTATACAATTATTAGAAGAATCAAATTCCTGTCCTCTACTAGAGACTGCATTGTCATTTAAAAGTGTATGGTTGAGTTTAACTTACTTGATTTCCATCGGTTCTGTTGTGGAGACACATTTGGTAGGAACATCAGATAAGTCTTGGTCCATTGGTTCTTCACCATTGGCTAGGCCAGATTCCAGTTTGCTTTTTTCCTCTTCTGTGGCTTGAAGCTCTGGAACCAAGAAGTCTTCTGGCCTAATGGAACAGGAGCTTTGTAAATATTAAAACTGCATTGCAAGGTATCATCATGCAGATGGTGTATTTTGATCGATTACTCAATAAATAATTAAAGGGAAAAAACAACAACAACAACATTGATGGAATATCGCTGGACTCTATGAGCTGCCTGTATACCAAATAACAAATGGAAACGTAGTTCACTTGCTAATGGATGAATCTCAGTACATAAAGTAGAGAACCAATATAACATTCAGTACAACACAAAGATCTAAAATTACAAAATTATAATGTGCATCCTATTGGCCCAATAAACTGCATTTCTCCTTTTAACGGTCATTATCTTTAGATTTCTGTAAGCAAGTTCGATTTTTATTCTCAAGACAATACAAAGCAATATAAATGAGAACAGCTAGATGCACATCTCATATAAATTAGTGGATTAAGTGTTTGTTTTTGAAAGCAGGGAATAAACATTCAAGCTTACCTGTACAAAACAAACACACACAAACAAACTAAATCTGACAATTTCAAATTAATAGGAACAGTAGACATTTCTAACTACTCAGCACAGTGTAAACCTGCAGCAAACGTATAGTGTTCTATATAGAAGAAAAACACAAAATAAAACACAATAGTAATCAAAATGTGCTGGGCAAATTTGAACAATTACACACCCTACCAAAGTATTCTTAAATTTTTCTCTGCCGTTTCTTCAGCGTAACACTCAAACTGAGTTACGCTGAAATTACATAAACATTTCTTTCCTTTTTTTGGTGTGTAATTGTTAACATTTGCATAGCACATTTTGGTTACTCTTATATGTCATCAACTAACATCATGCTAATTGGCTATTACACATAGTGGTCAATGACTTGTGATGCATAAAGTCATTCCTTGTCAAGAAGAATTTGGGGTAATATATGTGTATGCAACATTTCTAAAAGAGGACTTTATATATTTATGTTGTTTGCGAGGGGTTTATTATAGAACACAGTACATCTTGCTATATTTTACTTTGATTTCATTGAACGATAGTGGGCATTGAAAATGTTCTAGGTTAAGTCAAATCATCTCTCATTGCTCAACTCAATTTACTCAATAAACTGGTGATCGTTGTCAACCTCCTCTAGACAACTAAAACCAACGATGCCTGTCATTCACACATCTTCACAGAACCTAAATGCTTTTAATGAGCCTCACTTTATGATTTCACCATATTCATCCCATTTAATTCTCTCTTCTGGTGCAGGAAACATGGGATAGGATTTCTTTGCCTGTTTGAAGAAGCTTCCCTTCCTGCTCCCTTCACTCTTCATCATCAGGTCATGTTTGGCCTTGTGTAAGGTTGGTTGGTCAATGTCCTCCTCTGTATCACTGTCGTCACTGGAATCAATGTCTGCTCTAATGAAACAATACAAAGCAAAGGTTAGAGTAGGAGATCCTTGACCTTGGTGAACTCAATGAAATTTAAAAAGGATAAAGCACTAAACTCTTTAGATTGCTCCAGTTTTTTGGCAGCTTCCTTCTTCAGTTTCTCTTTTTCCAAATACTCCTCCAGTTCCTTTCCTTCAAGCTTCACGCGTTTTCTAAGCTGAAATAAATAAATAGAGGAAGTGTCAATAATTTTCCTCTTTGCTCTTAAGCCCACTGATTGTTTTGAACATATCCAAGAAGCAGGAGGCAAAACTCGAGTAAAAACAACTGAAGCCAAGGGTTCAAACAAATATTACAGATTGTGCCCAATGTCTAAATTTTGTGTGCAATTCTAAGGATGGAACTCTCCTTTGAGTTGCTGAAAATAAATAATACACAGATCCTAAATAGGACAGCTTGGCTTCTTCATTTAATAATTATTTGAAAACCTCGCTACTACAATATGTGGCATTTGCTTTAATGCTTTCGGAGACCTATAGTAGAGTGATACCATCTACAATTCCTCACATTGGATCAGTGATGTGCAAAGTCATAATATTATAAAGGATATCCCGGTTTTCAAAACTGGCAGGCCAGGCAAACAGATCAGTCACACTGGAGAAGATAGGAAGATCTAAACAGATGTCACAGTTTATAACATTCCAACAAAACAAACTTTGCAAATATGTGTATATTTGGCAACTGGGGATAAATAAAATCAGAGAGACTTGAAAACAGAAGATTGATTGTGGGTTTAAAAAATAAAATTGGATGTTGGGTGGCTGTATTTAGCATTGTGTTAAACAGAATTCGTGCTGTGACAAAAAGGGCCATAGCTATATGTGTGATCCATTAGATTACAAAATGAACACAGGGATTGGTGAATAAATGTGGGTCATGCAACTCTCACTACAAAAATGATAAAATTATTAGTTTAGAAAAAAGCTTTAAAGAATACAGCTTCGAGACAGACGTATGGCCTGACCCCACGTGTACACATTACCTCCATATCTATGATCTTTTCTGAAGGGTTATCAATAAGAAAGCGAGTAAGTGTTCCTGGAGTTGTTCTGTAGGTGAGGATGACAGAGTTTTTGGGGTCCTGGCACCACTGAATAAAGAGCTCCCTGGAAAAACCGCACTCCAGATCAGGTTGGCTTGCTAGGACCACTTTAGGGCTAGGAACACGTGCAAGGTCAGCAAAACCATGACATAAAGTAAGGTGACGGAACTGGAATGGATTGTTCCTTTTATCTTCGAAGCATCTCATCAATTTGTCACTCATCCATTCAACCTGGGGGGGAAAAAAACAAACAAAAAACACAGTTCTTTCAGAGGGAAGGTATAGAAGAGAAGTTGCTTTATAACTCATTCATTGTCAGAGAACCACAACAAATAATCAACTCTGATAGCACTGAAGAGTTTTAAGAGGGAGTAGTGGCATTTTCTTTTTTTTCTTAGAGTTTCAGGAAGCACATTGAGACAAATATTGTTCCATAAGGTGTTGAAAGCCTTACTACCCCATATTTTCCCTCTAGATGGAGCTATTTGAAGGGAGTTGTCTACTATTTGTCTACATACCACAGCAGAATCCCAATGGAAGTGAATAGCAAATTAAAAACTTGGGTTTCAACAAAAGTATTCCTTCACCCATCAACTCTTAGCATAGTGAACGGACTGAAAAAAAATATACAGTCATATAAAGCCAACTATTAATGGACAGAATGGGGTCAAGGAAGAAAGAGTGTAATCAAAAAAGTGTAATTAATGACATATTAGGAGTAAATGAACAAAAAAAATATATAAATATATACATAAAAAAATAATAAAATATGAGAGAGAGAGAGAGAGAGAGAGAGCGAGAGAGAGACAGTGACTTAAAATAGAGCTCAACGCACCTGAGACTTGGAAAACTCAACTACATTGTAGCTGACATTATTTAGGAGCGCCAAAGAGTAAACCCCAAGGCCAGCATCCTTGGTTCTCCAAATCTGGTCTAGAAGCTGTGCAAGTTCCAGTACCCGTCCAGCCGTATCCACCGCAATGAGGACATTCCCGTCACCTCGTAGGGTTTCCAGGACATTTGCTACAAAAACACAACGTAGTTTCATTAGCATAGAACATATCGCCAGCAAAAAATGATTATACTTCACTTGTTCAGGGTAGAATAACAGTGTAGACTTGTCCAAAATTTTAGTGAGTATTTATTTACCAAATTATGAGCAGTCATGTTTAAGATAAGAAACATTTTAAAGCTAGCCAGTAAACAAAACTCACTCTGATATAAAAAAATATATTTATGTACATAAATATACCCATATAAATACACTCACTTTTTCTATATATGCAAAAAGAGGTACTCCATGCACCTTCCTCCATGCAACAGCTGCTAATATAGTGGTTAGACCACCACTATGTAAATTCACGGGCACCATCCACTGTTTGTTTGTTTATGTCAAACCATTTACAAGCTGTTGGCCAAATCTGTGCTTTCCATAGCACCCATAGCCAGATTACATTACAGCTGAATTGATAATGTGGAAAATACACTTCCACGTTATCAAGTGCAGAGAACCCACATCTCAGCTTATTTTGCAATTCAGATTGATAATATTGAAGTGTGGTTTGAACTGTAGTGGTTACAGTCCTGAAGAGAGCAAATTTAACGCAAAAACCCTTAACTGATGCCTCATCTGCCTTTAGAAATGGCAGAAAGGAAACGTCAAAATACTTTTTACATGATCCTATGGTATATTACAGGGGTAAAGTATTTTATATAGTGTCTCACAAATTAGATATCCTCTCCTCTAAGAGAGCTTGAGATATAATAGCATCAACATGTGAGTGTCACATGTGTGGTTACAAACATGTGCATCAAGGGTCTGTGTGGTGTGGTAACAAACCTTACCTCCAGCAACATGTTGCATGCAGCCATGGCTAAACTTAAGCTACCTTGCCAGGGTTTTAGTTTCCACATATTAATAGAGGGAGGAAACTTTGTGCCCCACATATCGCAAAGGTTTTACTGGGCTTTAAATTATCAAAATTTTTGCATTTATGAAGTCAGTATTCAATAGTTTAGAGAATGTTGTGCCTCAGACCCAAATTAAGTAGGCCGGAGTTTTAATATAAAACAGAGTACTATATAAATAAAGCAAATAAATTATCAGGATACTTACTTAACAACTGCTCATCTCTCTGTTTTCTCCTGGGCTGTACATAGGTGGCATTAAAACAGTCTGTGATAAGGAGGGAAGGTCTATTGATCATCTCGAGGGAGCAGCCGTTCAAATGTCTGAAATGAAAGCAAACAATCAGCCCAGCATTGCTTGACATTCAATCATGGCAAGGGGAAAAAGGAAGGAAAGGGCCCTGATAAATGTCCCATTTTACAGCACTGTTTGGTGAAGCTCGTTTTTTATTCCCCCAACCCCCCCCCACACACACACAGTACTGTGAGGGATAAGTGGTTCCTCAAGAGAGAACTAATGGCATGTGGCGCCTGTCTGTTATTTTATGAAAGAAAGAAAGAAAGAAAGAAAGGGGAGAGAAAATGATCAAATCATTTAGATTTTCTTTTTCAAGGACATCATATTGTTTGGACCTAAGGAATATGGACAGAAAGTGCCACATGGCATTGAAAATTAACCTAGTACCCACTGAGCTTGTCTACACCCAAAATGAATATAGAGAACACAATGTCTACAGTTCTTTGGCCCAGCTCAGTTTAAGCAATAGTATATAAGAATGTATCATACATCTCTCTCTTGTGATTGAAATCTACAGCATAAACAATTTCTTCTTCTCCATCTTTCACAATTTTCCATATGGTCCCTCCGATCATGTGCCCGGCTGGCAAAGGCGTTATGGACAAACCATGTCCTTTCCCTGGGAAAGAGAAACCATATTAGTAACCGAGTTGAAAAGGAAAAATGTTTGGCCTCTGGAAAAAAACATAATATAACCAAGAATTTTTTACCTTTTAGATGCACAATTTGGGAGAATTTCAGTTGCTGTATTTTATCAAATGCGCAGTCCACATCATCCAGAGTAAACAGATTGAAATCTTCAGTATTATGCCGAGACTAAAAAAATAAATAAAAAATAAGACAAAATGCTAAGCTTTACAACAAACTCAATTGTGTTAAAGCTCATATTTAGTAAAGTTCCAAACATACCTGGTACATATCATACATAAACATTTGCCCCATCTTGTACACTGGAATCGTGGCATATATGGCGCAATTTAAACCCATTCTCCCAACGGCATATGGAAGAGCCCCAAGGTGCAAGGGATCCGGGTGAGACAAGAGAACAGCATCCACCTGATGAACATATCTGGCAATAAAATGATAAATGTTTTAATATCACAGATTTATCAGATTAGTACAATAACTAGGTTTGCAATCCCAGCCATCGGAGATTGTGGCACGGGCCAGAGGTAAAAAAAAAACCAAAATAAATCTGTGCTTTCACAAAACAACATGATGGCTAGTAAATGTGCTGCTGAACAAATCTGAAAGGAGTTCTCTGGTGTGATATAAACCAAAATACAAAATATAATATCTCACCACTGGTGTGATATACCTGTATTGCACAATACAATTACAAGTTGAACTTTATTAACAAACTAAGGTGAAAGGGTAACATAAAGAAAAGATGGGAAATGAAGACAAGATTAGCATTGGCTTTAATGAATCATGAGGAAAGCAGCTCCCAGACATCTGGGTTTCCATAGTAAGTCATCAATGGCCCACGTTCTCCTGGCACATTGGATACCCATTATTTTCTCCTATAGACTTACATTAAAAAATATATATAGAGTTAGAATTTATGGCTTAAACTGATTTCTTCAGAAGTTGGAAAATAATGGCCGCTACAAAATTGTCATGACATTTTCCAAGATCTGCTGCATCCTAAAACATCATATCGCCTCTCAACCAATGCATCCCCTGCCCAGTCACACTAATGACTGATAACCTTAGCGTTTCAGGCATTGTTGGATGTTCTCTTGCTGCTTCCCTGGTGACAAGTACATAATCTGTTTTGTGAGCATGTTAGGAGATTTTGCAAAGCCTTTGTAATGTAATCAGAAGGAAGACTGATCTCTTCCAACTTCAACAGCTGTGAGAAAAAACAGTCACCAACCACATTTACTGGTTGTTACGGTAATATGAGATGAATGGGAGAGTGGGGATATACCCAACTAAATTGTTTTTTTCTCCCTAATAAAAATAACACACTACCCCATGTGCCTCTTAGGAGGCCTCCGCCACACAGTTAAACGAGCCCATAACAACCGTATATCGATACACAATATGTGATTTCACCTACCGTAAAACCCACTCAATTTTACGCACAAACCTATGTTTAGCAGGGTGAATTAATGTTTCTGTCTGCAATGGATCAGCCGGTCACACTAGTCTGCGAGCATTATAAGCCTGATCTTAATGATAAGCACTCGGACAGTTTAACCAATGCATATGACAAGACGCCTGCCCTAGCGGAACCATACCACAGCGAACACAGTATGTCTTAACCCAGCCTGTAGTTAATTTAGCATGTTTAACCAAACTTACGTCTAACTTTTAATATACTTAGTTACCCTACCATGTTATGGTATTTAAGCGATATTTATTAGCCTGGCTTAGCTGAACCAAATCAGAGCAATGTTTATTAGCCTGTTATTTTCATGATTATACATAAAATGTGCAGACCAAACTGCCACACTTTGAAATGTCTTGAAAATGCTTGTAGATGCTGTTGTGGCTCTACAAGCTTGTTGTCATTGTCAAAATTAAAAAAATAACACTAGTTATTTATGACCTGACAAGCACCGGAGTATGTAGTTAATTTTATTTTATCTATTGTAACTTAGAGGAAATAGCTGCATGAGCAAAATTATTTAACTCCTTTAAAACAGCAGATTATGGAGCAGTGAGACTGCAGGAACATGACCTATACACCAAAACTGCTTTATTAAGCTAAAGTTGATTTGGTGCTTAGAGTGTCCTTAAGACATTTTTGGCTCTGTATCAGCGTTGGCATGTTCTGATCTAGTCCATTTCCAGGAATGAGTTTCTGAAAACCTTTAAAAGGACAGGTTGTTCTCACAATAAAACTACATTAGCAAACGCAAAGCACCTACAAACAAAAAAAGAAAACTTACTTCTTGATGGAGTCTATAATGTCCATGGAAAAATTCTCATCCCAGCCGCAATCCAAGAGAAAGCGGAATTCGTCAACTTGAAGCAGGTAGCAAAGAGCAGATTCCTCCTGCGCTCCAGAAAGCGTTGTTAGCTTAATGATAGACGTCATTCTTGCAATTATAAGAAATCTAAAAACATTTTTTTTTTAAACAAAGCATCAACATATCAGCTGGCAATGCAGGGAAGTGGGTAAACATAAAACCATCAATGTTAAGTACTAGTTGTTTAGAGGACTTGTCATCCACTTTTGTGTTGACAACTGTGACAATTAATCATCTAAAATTTAAACATACACTGATCAGCTATACCATTAAAATCACTGGCCTAATATGTAGGTCCCCCACTTGCTGCCAAAACAGCTTGGATGCGTTGAGACATGGACTCTACAAGATCTATGAACATGTCCTGTGACATTTCCCCCTCCACCCCGCCAAACCATTTATATTGTGAACGCATGTTACAAGAATATGGAACAAGTGACTATCATTTTCAAACTATCAAGACTGCTTTTAAGCTGCACCACTTTTGGTAGGTACTAACCACTGCATATAGGACTTACCTTTGAGATGCTTACACCCAGATCTCTAGTCATAACTATTTATAACCTTGTTAAATAATTTAGATCTTTTTGTTGGCCTTTTTTTCCTGCTACCAACACATTAAATTCGAGAACGGACTGTTCACCTGCTGCCTAATAAATCCCAGCCCTTGATAGGTGCCGTTGTAACAATATCAATGTTATTCACGTCACCTGTCAGTGGTTTTAATGTTGTGGCTGATTAGTTTTTTTTTTTTTTTTTTATTGGTCTTTTTAAATTGTTCAGAGTTAAGTTCCATAGGCCCATTGTTTTGATTCCATACCCCAAATGATATAGATATGCCTGGTTGAGAAACACTGTGCTAGACAATTAGCAACAGGGCAAGTAAGGCCACAAGTTTATTATGGCAGGTATCCCAATCAAGAAGGCTCTCTCGCCATTCCATAATCAGCTGTAATACCATCTCCTTGGACCCTCAGCACTAGGTTACGCAGATCAAAACCATCTCAAATTAATGCTGTTCCCAATGGGTTTCAGGCCAAATGTTTTAGAGTTAGATTAATCAATAATGTATTTTTAGTTTTTTTGTTTTTTTGTTTCGTAGTTAGGGACAGGACATTAAAACTCTAAAAGCCATTATGACGATCTGCTGTGCTAGGCGGTTTACACTCTATTCTCAGTCCTTGCACACTGTTCTCTGACATGTTGCTCTTTGTCACCCATGAGGTTTTTCTCTCCTTCCAAAGATCCGGTGTCTTTTTAACTGAACTCTCTGTACCATGTCAAGCTCCATTTATTCCATACTCACAGCAGTCATGTGGAATTCATATCGCGCAAAGCTTGAGACTTATAATTCATGCTACATGGGGAGGGTGGGTATTGATTGGGTCAGACCACAGTAATCACAGTATGGTCTGGCACTCTCTGATGACTTTGAGCACCGGACTGCAAGGAAGCGTTTACCACAAGCACCCACACTGGACTACCATGGACTTTTCACACCCCAAGGACCACCAAATTCATAGTTTAGTGAATAAACGTGTCTATCGCAAGGTGTTTTTTTTTTTATCTGAAAGTATTTTGTGTTTAAGGGTAATTAGATTGCAATGTTGGACAAGTAGATTTAGTAAAAAAAAAAAAAACAACACACCCCTGTCTAAACACCAGACTGCATGATTTCACATCTCTGGGATCTTAGTAATAGACTTTGCTATCTCAACCATTATGTCTGGGTGCCAGCCTGCTCTTGTTCATTCTTCAGCCCTCAGGGCCAGATTGTTGATTTTTTTTTTTTTTTTTTAAATCTCTCATAATACTAAACTGCTCATGTAATGGTTTACTTGGTGTCACACCAATAAAGCACCGACTACAAGCTTTCTAGTCTTACTAGGTACAGGCTGTGCCCCTTGTGCCTGGACTGTTTGCCCCAGCTCCCTCACCCCCTTAGTGCAAAGTGTCTCTTGCCCTCCCATATTCTCAAGATACCATGCTACTCACTCTCTCTCTCTCTCTCTCTCTCTCTCTCTCTCTCTCTCTCTCACAGTCCCAGGCTGTGCGCTCTCTCTCTCTCTCTCTCTCTCAGTCCCAGGCTGTGCTCTCTCTCTGTCCCAGGCTGTCTGTCTCTCTCTCTCTCTGTCCCAGGCTGTCTGTCTCTCTCTCTCTCTCTGTCCCAGGCTGTCTGTCTCTCTCTCTCTCTCTGTCCCAGGCTGTCTGTCTGTCTCTCTCTCTCTCTCTCTGTCCCAGGCTGTGCTCTCTCTCTCAGTCCCAGGCTGTGCTCTCTCTCTCAGTCCCAGGCTGTGCTCTCTCTCTCAGTCCCAGGCTGTGCTCTCTCTCTCAGTCCCAGGCTGTGCTCTCTCTCTCTCTCTGTCCCAGGCTGTCTCTCTCTCTCTCACTCTCTGTCCCAGGCTGTCTCTCTCTCTCTCACTCTCTGTCCCAGGCTGTCTCTCTCTCTCTCACTCTCTGTCCCAGGCTGTCTCTCTCTCTCTCACTCTCTCTCCCAGGCTGTCTCTCTCTGTCTCTCTCTCTCTCTCACTCCCTCTCTCTCTCTCTCTCTCAGTCCCCCAGGCTGTCTCTCTCTCTCTGTCCCAGGCTGTCTCTCTCTCTCTGTCCCAGGCTGTCTCTCTCTCTCAGTCCCAGGCTGTCTCTCTGTCTCAGTCCCAGGCTGTCTCTCTGTCTCAGTCCCAGGCTGTCTCTGTCTGTCTCTCTCAGTCCCAGGCTGTCTCTCTGTCTGTCTCTCTCAGTCCCAGGCTGTCTGTCTCTCTCAGTCCCAGGCTGTCTCTCTGTCTCAGTCCCAGGCTGTCTCTGTCTCAGTCCCAGGCTGTCTCTGTCTGTCTCTCTCAGTCCCAGGCTGTCTCTCTGTCTGTCTCTCTCAGTCCCAGGCTGTCTGTCTCTCTCAGTCCCAGGCTGTCTCTCTGTCTCAGTCCCAGGCTGTCTCTGTCTGTCTCTCTCAGTCCCAGGCTGTCTGTCTCTCTCTCTCAGTCCCAGGTGGTTGAGGCCTGTTTCTCACTAATAATGTAACCATGTGCCCGTACCGTTAGCTGTTAGCCGGTAATTATCCGTTAATGGCAGTAACGGTCGCTGAGTTCCTGCTCCTGCGATCAGCCCGCTCTCGTGCCCCATGTACCAGTCTCAGGCCGGCAGTCAGTGTCTCGGGACTCGCTGTATCGGACCCGGCGCCATGTTAGCAGCGCGCAGGAGCGGGGACCAGCTGGGAGCAACCAACTCACACCGCGGGGGGAACCAATGTCTGCTTCACTCCACCCGACTATCCCTGTCTGCCGTACAGGCTGCTCTAACCATACACTGCAAGGCTTTCACAATAACTAAATAATTACCGGTCTATTAAAAACCTCTAGCTGTCCGCAGACTATACATTTCAAATAACCCCCCCCCCCGTGCGGTATAGTGGTCTCTCCCAATGCCCTCTATCCCTGTGCTGGGAGCTCAGTGTGCAGCCTGGGCCGAACACACAGCGGTGAGTGCCACTTACCTGCCCTGGGGGACTGACACGGGGCCCCCGGGAGCCCTGATACATGGCAACCCCCGGGAGCCCTGATACATGGGGCCCCTGGGAGCCCTGATACACGGCAACCCCCGGGAGCCCTGATACACGGCAACCCCCGGGAGCCCTGATACAAGGCAACCCCCGGGAGCCCTGATACAAGGCAACCCCCGGGAGCCCTGATACAAGGCAACCCCCGGGAGCCCTGATACAAGGCAACCCCCGGGAGCCCTGATACAAGGCAACCCCCGGGAGCCCTGATACACGGCAACCCCCGGGAGCCCTGATACAAGGCAACCCCCGGGAGCAGCTGTTATCAGGGACATTATACCAACCTCATATAATGCAGCCCATGGCTACTACAGGGGCATACCCTGATACCCTACACCCCATTATAAATGAGAGGTGGGCATACCCTGATACCCTACACCCCATTATAAATGAGAGGTGGGCATACCCTGATACCCTACACCCCATTATAAATGAGAGGTGGGCATACCCTGATACCCTACACCCCATAATAAATGAGAGGTGGGCATACCCTGATACCCTACACCCCATTATTAATGAGAGGTGGGCATACCCTGATACCCTACACCCCATTATTAATGAGAGGTGGGCATACCCTGATACCCTACAAGCCATTATAAATGAGAGGTGGGCATACCCTGATACCCTACACCCCATTATAAATGAGAGGTGGGCATACCCTGATACCCTACACCCCATTATAAATGAGAGGTGGGCATACCCTGATACCCTACACCCCATTATAAATGAGAGGTGGGCATACCCTGATACCCTACACCCCATAATAAATGAGAGGTGGGCATACCCTGATACCCTACACCCCATTATTAATGAGAGGTGGGCATACCCTGATACCCTACACCCCATTATTAATGAGAGGTGGGCATACCCTGATACCCTACAAGCCATTATAAATGAGAGGTGGGCATACCCTGATACCCTACACCCCATTATAAATGAGAGGTGGGCATACCCTGATACCCTACAAGCCATTATAAATGAGAGGTGGGCATACCCTGATACCCTACACCCCATTATAAATGAGAGGTGGGCATACCCTGATACCCTACAAGCCATTATAAATGAGAGGTGGGCATACCCTGATACCCTACACCCCATAATAAATGAGAGGTGGACATACCCTGATACCCTACACCCCATTATTAATGAGAGGTGGGCATACCCTGATACCCTACAAGCCATTATAAATGAGAGGTGGGCATACCCTGATACCCTACACCCCATTATAAATGAGAGGTGGGCATACCCTGATACCCTACAAGCCATTATAAATGAGAGGTGGGCATACCCTGATACCCTACACCCCATTATAAATGAGAGGTGGGCATACCCTGATACCCTACAAGCCATTATAAATGAGAGGTGGGTATATCCTGATACCCTACACTCAATGACTCGTGAGAAAAGGATAGTCTAAGGTTCAGATCACAATCTACCTTACTCTAGTTTAGGATGGATAGTGCAGAATTTTTAAGTAAATGCTCAATTAAAGTGTGTATAAATATACTATCAGGGCTCAGAATTTCCTCTAGCCATTAGTGAGTGAACATTTAGCCCTGGTGAGCATACCATGGCTTGCAGTTGTGAGCAACCTCTAAGGCCTGGCTAGTAGCAAAGCCCTGCTATTTATTTATTTATCTATTTTAATGGAGGGTTCCCAATTATGTATAGTTTTTTCAAGCATTTCCCTTTCAGAAGTTAACTAAACTCTCTTTTATTCCAGTTCCGGGAGGGTCACCTCACTGCACCTATTATCCTTGTCCTGTGAAGTCTTCATTACTGAAGGCTGGAACACGCGGCACATGCTGCAGCAATTGCTGCATTTCGCCAACAATGCTTCTCTTAGCGAACACTCACTTAAAGGGACACTGTAGTCACTATAACCACTTTGTCTCTTTGAATTGGTTATAGTGCCTGGAGTGCCCTGGCATTGTCCCTCCATTCAGTGTTGCACCATGTTTGTGCAGTATGCCACAAAATAAGAGTCCCTGGCCACCCACAGTCCCGCCCCTTCTGTATGTGTAGCTAAGGCAGAGATTACACACTTCCTTGTTGTCATACCCATTCATACCGTCAGTTGGAGCTCTGACAGGTTAAAAGCAGTCAGCTGACACTCTCAGCCAATCACAGCTGCACATTGCTGCTCAGGGTAATCATTCCTTATTAGCCAAATCAGCACAGAGGGGATGGACTGCCGTGGTGTCTTGTTTAGCATTAAAACATGACAACATTAAAAACTGTTTAATGCTGAAAGAAATGATGGCACCAGGGGACTCCATACACTATAACCAGCTTAATGAGATGAAGCAGATACAGTGCCTACGGTGTCCCTTCACTTAAGCGAGAGTAAGGCAGAAAAACCATCCAGCTTTATGACAGCCAGGAAGTGTTACTAAGGTGATTTTAAAAAAATGCCCATTCCTTTGTCCTAAAATAAACCCACAGGGACAAACTTGTTGAAGGCCATGCTCAGACAGTTAAACCTAAATGTCAAGTTTATTATCTATTATTTTATTATATATTTAGCACCAGCAAATTCTGTAGTGCTGTACAATCCGGGTCCTAATTAAAAGATGTGGCACCCATGGCAGTCCCTTCCACAGATTGTATTAAACAAGCAGCTCATAGGAAGAATAAGCCTGGCAGTAACGTTCGTAATGAACTGTGAATGGGAAATATGGGCAAGTAATTTGTTGCATCATGTGTTGTAATTTGTTTGATATTATTTGTTTTTGCTTGCAGTGGCCATGGTGAATATTATTGGTATTGTGCGTGAGCACTGGCCTGCTGTTCTTGTTCCAATGGGATTTGTGATTGGATGGTACTTGGACCGAAGAAACAATGAAAAATTGTCTATGTTCAGAAATAGAAGTGTCCTTTACAGAAGGTGAGATCTGGATGTCTTAAAGCAGGTCTCAAAATGTGTTTAAAAAAAAAACAAAAAAACAGTTATGGATCTGTGGGGTTGATTACTTTCAGAACCCTTAATGATCCTTTTACAGGAAAGGATATTTGTGGCACACTAGCTTTTAAATGTAAGAGCAGCCAATGTGTATTTCCACCACTGATCTAAAATGATGCAGAAACTTACTAATGTTGTTTTAGTAAATATGAAATAATTTTATTATTTATGTATCACCAACGAATAAGCAGCACTACATGCACTGGGAATATTTTATTCTTTAATATTTGAAGGCTTTTTACATTTTATTTAAATGGCAATTAAACCTCCCTTCATTCCAGCTCCAAGTCAGTCTCCACAGAGCAGCTGCTACAACTCTGGTAACATTATCAGTAGTGATGACATCTGTTCAACCCAACAGAAACAAAAGACCTTGCACACTGATGCCGCATTCAAGGTCCGACCTGCGTGGGGAGAACACCGCTGAATCCACCAATTTTAAACTTGAAAGTAGAAGGACACAGGCGACCCTATGAGATCAAGAAGGTGAAATTTTTTTTTTTTTTTTTTTTTTATTAGTGGGATCACCACTTCACAAAGTTGCAACGTTTCGGCTCAGTAGAGCCTTATTTAAAACGTCACAACTTTGTGAAGTGGTGTTCCCACTAAGAAAAATGTCACCTTCTTGATCTCGGAGTGTCGCCTGTGTCCTTCTACTTTCGAGTCTGTTCAATCCAGTCCTTCTCGTAGAGAAGCACTGTGGACAGAATGCGCACGAACGTCAGTTGTGGCACTCCACCAATTGGATGCCTCTCCCAGAGAACCATTAGATCTAATACTTCTCTATGAGAATCATTAAAGTTATTTTGGTGTAGGGTGGCAGCAGAGAGCGGCAGGTGCTGGTAGCGCTATGTAAGAGGGGGGCTGGTGCAATATTTCAATTATCTCTGGAGGCAGTAGGGAGATAGATGCTAAGAGGAAGTGTAACGACCGTTTCAGCACACAAGGGGTTAAAAACCGTTTAGGCTATATTCCCCTTTTAAATACACAAACAGCTACTGCAAGCACCAATCTCACGAATTGCAAACACACGAATTCACCAACTCCCGAACACACGAATGCTGTTAAACAGCCGAACAGGAAAAACCATACGAACAGCATACAATCCAATTCCCCCCAAGAACGAGACAACACTCCGTTTGAGGGTCAAACAGAACTGATTTACTGGGGCTACCTGCCCGGCTTTTATGCAGGTCTCCCACCTGGTGGACACTCCCCTAGGGGACCAGATGGAAGACTGGGAAACATATTGGACATTGACCAATCACAAGCTTACAATCCCACAATGCATCACAATCCCTCCTCTCTGTCCTGGAGATAATTGGGAAGTAATCCAATTATCTCCAAGGACAGAGGCAATACTCCATTAACCACATGGCAGACAAAGGAAAGTAAAAGACATAAAGTTATATTTAGAACATAAACATTCTACCTATCCCCAGATCGCTTAGATCTGAGCGCCCATTACTACCGGATAGCGCTCAGATCACATACAGTTGCAAGAAAAGGTATGTGAACCCTTTGGAGTGATATGGATTTCTGCACAAATTGGTCATAAAATGTGATCTGATCATCATCTAAGTCACAACAACAGACAATCACAGTCTGCTTAAACTAATAACACACAAAGAATTAAATGTTGCCATGTTTTTATTGAACACACCATGTAAACATTCACAGTGCAGGTGGGAAAAGTATGTGAACCCTTGGATTTAATAACTGGTTGAACCTCCTTTGGCAGCAATAACTTCAACCAAACGTTTCCTGTAGTTGCAGATCAGACGTGCACAACAGTCAGGAGTAATTCTTGACCATTCCTCTTCACAGAACTGTTTCAGTTCAGCAATATTCTTGGGATGTCTGGTGTGAATCGCTTTCTTAAGGTCATGCCACAGCATCTCAATCGGTTTGAGGTCAGGAGTCTGACTGGGCCACTTCAGAAGGCGTATTTTCTTCTGTTTAAGCCATTCTGTTGTTGATTTACTTCTATGCTTTGGGTCATTGTCCTGTTGCAACACCCATCTTCTGTTGAGCTTCAGCTTGTATACAGATGGCCTTAAGTTCTCCTGCAAAATGTCTTGATAAACTTGGGAATTCATTTTTCCTTCGATGATCGCAATCCATCCAGCCCTGACGCAGCAAAGCAGCCCCAAACCATGATGTACCCACCACCATACTTCACAGTTGGGATGAGGTTTCGATGTTGGTGTGCTGTGCCTTTTTTTTCTCCACACATAGTGTTGTGTGTTTCTTCCAAACAACTCAACTTTGGTTTCATCTGTCCACAGAATATTTTGCCAATACTGCTGTGGAACATCCAGGTGCTCTTGTGCAAACTGTAAACGTGCAGCAATGTTTTGTTTGGACAGCAGTGGCTTCCTCTGTAGTATCCTCCCATGAAATCCATTCTTGTTTAGTGTTTTACGTATTATAGATTCGCTAACAGGGATGTTAGCATTTGCCAGTGACTTTTGTAAGTCTTTAGCTGACACTCTAGGATTCTTCTTCACCTCATTGAGCAGTCTGCGCTGTGCTCTTGCAGTCATCTTTACAGGACGGCCACTCCTAAGGAGATTAACAGCAGTGCTGAACATTCTCCATTTGTAGACAATTTGTCTTACCGTGGACTGATGAACAACAAGGCTTTTGGAGATACTTTTATAACCCTTTCCAGCTTTATGCAAGTCAACAATTCTTAATCGTAGGTCTTCTGAGACCTCTTTTGTGCGAGGCATCATTCACATCAGGCAATGCTTCTTGTGAAAAGTAAACCAAGAACTGGTGTGTGTGTTTTATAGGACAGGGCAGCTGTAAGCAACACCTCCAATCTCATCTCATTGATTGGACTCCAGTTAGCTGACATCTCACTCCAATTAGCTCTTGGAGATGTCATTAGTCTAGGGGTTCACATACTTTTTCCACCTGCACTGTGAATGTTTACATGGTGTGTTCAATAAAAACATGGCAACATTTCATTCTTTGTGTGTTTATTAGTTTAAGCAGAGTGTGATTGTCTATTGTTGTGACTTAGATGATGATGATGATCATATCACATTTTATGACCAATTTGTGCAGAAATCCATATCATTCCAAAGGGTTCACATACTTTTTCTTGCAACTGTAAATACCGTACAATTGCCATGGAGCCAAAGTCCTTCATACAGTCTTTCAGTATACGGCTGGGCTCCATGGCATAGCTATCTGGGGTAGCACGGTTTAAACAGTAAAGTACCTAATGGACCGGTGTTCGGATAATTGACTGCAGGTAGGAGAAGGGAGGTTGGCGGCTCAGCGGTGTTCGTGACTTTAACAGTCCGCAGAAAGGCACGAACCAGCCTTTCTGCAGGGAAAAAGAACCATGTTAAACATGGGGCCATAGTATAAAGGGAGCAGGCGAGCAACCAGGCTCCTTCAGTGGCGAGGTTGGTTCCGCCACAGGAAGCACTGGCCTTGCTGCCCGGGATATAGTTATCGTGATTTAATAGATCATGCCCACACATTAGTTAAACCGTGAGCACTTGTTAAGTATCGCATGGGCACGATCTGCTAAATTGCACACATGACGCAGGACATCAACACAACAACAAAAAATAAATATATATTATCCCCGGGTCTCTTTAGTAATGAGTGTGGATTGATGCAAAAAAAAAATATTCAAACAATTGTAGCATTGCTGTGTCAACTGTATAACTGTTGTTTGCAAACTTTGGAGAATGATATTGTATATGATGTATTATTTCCATCTGACATCTACAATAAAAACAATTGTAGCATAAGGCTGCACCATAAAAAAATGAAGTGCTCCAAATACTTGCTGAACGCACTGTAAGTGGTATGTCTAGTTAAATATTGCAACCCTAGTTCGATGTGGAGATGACCAATATGAGGATGTTTAAAGAACAACAGCCATCACAATTTTCACTAATGAATTTTAAAAAGGTTATTACATTATTATAACTTAAGGTGTTATATATCTAAAATGTTATTTTAAATGTAATCTAGTTAAACAGTCATGACTCTGTCATGAGACCAATTGCTGTCCACCCTAATTTGTGTGTTGCTAAAGTTTCATACTAAGCAATCACTGCAGCAGACAAAAGTGCATTTTGCAATAGAAATTGGCACTTTATTAAAGGATCACTACAGGGTCAGGGACACAAACATGTATTCCTGACCCTATAGTGTTAAAACCACTATCTAGCCCCCTGAGCTCCTCATGCCTCCATAAATATAGCAAAATCTTACTGTGTTCAAGCCTGAAGCTGTAACTCTGCATGCTGTTTGTCTCAGAAAAACAAGCAGTCTGCTGACATCATCAGAAGTGTTAGCCTGATCCAATCACAATGCTTCCCCGTAGGATTGGCTGAGACTGACAAAGAGGCAGATCAGGGGCAGAGCCAGCATGATTCAAACACAACCCTGGCCAATCAGCATCTCCTCATAGAGATGAATTGAATCAATGAATCTCTATGAGGAAAGTTCAGTGTCTGCATGCAGAGGGAGGAGATACTGAATGTTTGGATGCATTTTAGGCAGCCATGACCCAGCAAGGATCTTTAACAGCCATCTGAGGAATGGCCAGTGAAGTTATCACTAGGCTGTAATGTAAACACTGCATTTTCTCTGAAAAGACAGTGTTTACAGCAAAAAGCCTGAAGGTAATGATTCTACTCCCCAGAACAAATTCAATAAGCTGGAGTTGTTCTGGAGACTATAGTGTCCTTTTTAAATTAACCTTGGTATACAACCACTGGAAGTAAATCAGACATCCGGTCCAGGGACTTGCAAAGACTTCACATTGAGTTGATTGGGAAGTCTGATTGGACAGCCACAGAATGTCTGGGCTAGGAAGGAGGGTGAGTGCTTGCACATTCTGCAGACGAGAGATGTGAAAAAAAAATGCTTAATAAAAGGCATACGTATTTTCATCATTCGACGTGTATCTACAAATTAGCTATTCATTTATTTTTGTATTTAGGATTTTGAGTACTCTCTTAAGTTGACCACCACATGATCAGATAACAGTCTGAGCAAGCACAGCTGTTCAGCCTAATAAAGTAAAATAAAAAATCAGTTTCATAACTGATTTGATAACAGTAGGCTCTGAGAGCTTTGCCTGCAAGCTTACAATCTAAAGGGATAAGGGGGAGGCACATGGCATGACCCAGATATGGCAAACCGTACAAAAATTTGTTTTATCACTTTTCATGGGTTGGCACCAGGGCACTTGCATGGAGTGTTCCCTTAAACAAAATTAGAGCTATGTTCTAGTGAGCATCTTGGCAGTTTATACCCTAAACCAGGCTTCCTCAAATTCCGGCCCCCCAGATGTTGCAGCATTACAACATCCCATGATTCTATGAATGAAATAGCCTGAGAATCAAGGGAGTTTTAGTTCAGCAGCATCTGGAGGGCCAGAGTTTGAGGAAGCCTGCTCTAAACTGATAACTGTGGTCAGTTGAGAAGACATCACACACTTTTCTCCAGAGCAGAGCTTGAGTACAATAAATAAATTGTGGAATATGCAGCTCACAAACATACAGTTTTGTAATTGGTTGTAATGTTGCTGTTTTTGAAAATAACTTTATGGATTTCTAATTACATTTTGTTCTCAATCTCTAAAGGGAACTGAAACCTGGAGAAGAGGTCACTTGGAGATGAAGAATGGAAAACAAACCTCCTAATTATCTATTTTACGTTGTACCAATAAAACACTGTGTGCTTACTTAAAACATGTCTTCTGTATTGCGCAGTCTGGAACCATCTCTGAGCTAAATGTGACCAATAAATTAACCCTCGGAAGCCCTAATTTTAGAGTTTGTGTTCTGGTACATTTTAGATACCAACTACTCTCTATAGTGGTTGCCAAACCAGTCCTCAAGACACCCCTATCAGTCCATGATGTAGGGATTACCCAGTTGGGTCTAATGTGTTTTTAGAAAAGAAAAGGCATAAAATAAGGACTTTATACAGTGAATAATTAAGATTCCATACAGACCGAGGCATGTTACCATTTTGAACCCCCACGTTCACTCTTTAGTATATAGTGCACTTTCATAGGGCCCAGTATCTAAATGGGCATTTTTCTAAAAAAATACTGCCTTCTTTGTGCGTCTTATGGTTGATCGGGCTATGACCTTACTAGGAAGAGTATCCACTCTATTAAAGCTTCTCAAAATTCCACATTTCAGCCCACAAAAGAAGGATCTAGTATAAAATGTGTTCAAGTTTTACAGTTAGGTTGCCTTATTTATTTTTTTTTTTCCTTTCAAAAATTCAAGTAGTGCACCATAATATTGTGTGAAATCAACAACAACCCAAAAAATAAATAAAAAAATTGCGTAATCGCCTTCCAAAAGGCCGGTTTTTAGAAACAGGCATAATTATAAAATATTTTTAATGTCCCAGAGTTTTTATTTTAGGGATTGTAACAAAGTATTTGTGTAAAGCAGATGTGGGCACATGTCTAAAAGGGATGAAAATTATAAACATATGAGTTTAACATTTATGGTTGGGAAATTATTTAAGGGGTCATTAACATATACTTGTCAGTAGTTGAGTGAGGAGAGAAGCAGGAGAATTCTCCTTTAGGTGGTTCTCTTACTCCCTCTCAGCAGCTACAGGTGCCTTACGTGCTGCGTTTGATTATCTAAGTGAATGCCGTCTGCCGGGGCAATAAAGGACTTGTCGCTTCTTTTAATGCTGACATGGTGGCAAGGGAGCACACACAACAGCATCATTGAAAGCTGTGATCTTCTTGGGGAATTGTCCACAAACAGGACTTGGAGGTATTTGGAGTCGGGAGATGGGTCTTACAATTAGTGTTACACACAAGATGATGGCAACAGAGGCACCTGTTAGAGGAGGTGAATACAAACTAAAGGTAGTTTCTTATTAAGAAATGAAATGCAACATTGAGAATTCTGATGAATTCTATGTTTCTTCCATTAAAGGAACACAATAGCGTTAGGAATACAAATTCATAACACTGTGGGGCCCTGTTAGCCATTTAGGTTCCTGGCACTACTGCACCAGTCTCAATGCTGCCATCCCGCCTCCCTGACTTAGATCATCAGTCATGGTCATAGGAAAGCAATGGCAGGCTAGTGCGCATGTGCGACTCATTACTAAACTGTGCTAATAGGGTGGTTTCTAGGTACAGGTTCAGGTAAGTAAATCCCATGTTTACCTCTCCCTCCACTCCCACCTCGGCCACCAGACCCTGAGCGGCGATGTCACCTCGAGGGTCTTTGTAAATTTGGCAAAGTCCCCACACGGTGACACTGCGGCTTTAAGCAGGCATGGTTATGGCACCCAGACCACTTTTTTTGAGAAGTAGTAGTCCGAGTGTTTATTGTCATTTAAAGTGAACCTGTCATAACATTCTAGAATTAGTTGAAACACTAGCATTAGAAGGTTTTATGATAGATGGATCATGTAAAACTACATTTAATTCTTCAAGGAAGGCAGTTTAACATGGCAGTCACTAAACTGTGTAACCACTACATACTGATGTAGTGGTTATGGTACATTTAGGCCACAGGTGCTATCCACTGGTTAATGATGAAAATGTTTTCAAGTAGTTTGACCAAAACCTGACAAACTCAGCCAATCAATGACACCTATTTACAGAATAAATTGAAATTGATAATGCTTAAGTGGAACTAACGCATAAGCCATACTGTAAAGTGGGTTTTGGGGATGCCAGTTTAGACAAGCCGTTAGTGGTTAATCCATCCATCAGCCAGCCCCTACTGGAGGTATAGGTAAGGCAGAGATTACACATTTTTTCTTTATAGCCATACCTATTCATACCAGCAATGGGTGCTCTGAACGGCTGAAATCCGTTAGTTAACACTGACAGCCAATCGCTGCAGCCGATTGCAGCTCAATTTAATGCTTCCACATTAGGTCAAGCAGTGTATAGGAGATGGCTGCTGGAGACTCGTTTAGCATTAAAACATTAAAAACTGTTTAATATTGAAAGGAAAGAAAGCACCAAGGGACATCAGAAACTATAACCAGTTAGCTGAGAAATGACTTGTGTCCATCAAGTTCAGCCCTTCTAACATCTATAAATTAGTTGAAGCAAATACAGATCCTACAGTGTCCCTTAAAACAGGGGTGGGGAACCTTTGGCCCTCCAGATGTTTTGGACTACATCTCCCTTGATGTTTTGCCAGCATTATGACTAAGAGCATTATTGGAGATGTAGTCCAAAACATCTGGAGGGCCGAAGGTTCCCCACCCCTGTTTTAAGGGACATTGTAGGAACTGTATTTGCTTCAACTAATTTACAGATGTTAGAAACGCAGAAGTTGATGGACTGCTTTAAAAGAACACTCCAGTCACAAAACCTTATCTTAATGAAGTCTTTATGGTGCCAGGAGGCCCATTAGCGTTTTGTTATCTTGAGGGGCTGCAGTTCACCCAGGCGACATCCGGCTTCTGAACCTGAATTTCAGGACGTATGAAGTGTGAACAGGCAGGGAGGGGTGCGCCGCTGGTATGTTAGATCAGTAAGTCCCCATTCATTATAAAGATGGTGACCGGAGTGTTCCTTTAACTGAATGATCTCTTACTGTATATGAATTCCATGTACTGCTGCGCTTACTCAATTACTGGCTCACCATAGTGATTCTGATAAAGGTTCAGGAAAGAAAGGACTGTGTGACTTCCACTTTCTGGTTTTCTATGTGAATTTAAAAGTCAAAAAAAAAAACACAAACTGAAAACAGAAATAACTTGGAATATGTTTTGGAATTCATTAATTGTGTCCTAAATTTTGAAATTCACGTTCAATGCTGGGTAGTTCTCACTGTAGTAAATAACCCTGTCTGTATGTGTGATTTCTATTTTCAATCCCCTGTTCACTTGGAGTAGTGACAGCTAAGCCATAGGGAATAATGGAAGTTGCCCGGTTCAATCATGGCCTCCAGGCGCTTGCTTACGTCAATACAGGCCGGAAGAGAAGGGAGATATGGGTAGAAAGCTGGTCACGTGACAGGCGGCCAGATCACCTGACTGCCATTCGGTCACATGATCACACGGCTTGCTTCCTGATTGGCTGTCCAAACGCCGGTACGCTGGTGACGTTTTCGTGAGGGGGCGGGGTCCACGACCCGAGATAAACATGGAGTCTATATTTCATGAGAAAGTAAGTTGGGCACCGGGTATTGGTCTGGCATGGTTCTGGAGGGCAGATATGGCGGGTGATACCCGGCAGCCATCACGGGGGGAGGGCATCAGCTATGATGGACAGTCAGTGTGTGTGTGAGGCCCCCAGGAGCTGAGATCACTGGACATCCGGGGCTCTGGGGGCTGTATCCAGGGGTTTAACCCTCTCAGGGGGGAGGTGGTGCACAGACAGCACCATGCTCTCATATCCTGGGGTGCAGGGACATAGCAAGCTCAGGGAGCACACAGCAACCCCAGCTGTGACCAGGAATCTGCCTGGGTACCCAGACTGTAATTACTACTGACTGGCAACTGGGGAGGGGGCACTGCTTCCTTCTAACATCTCTTAAAGTGGGAGAACAGGGGGCAACATGTGCAGAATGGATGGGTAACAATATTATAAAGTGCCCCAGAATCAGCTGGCGCTATATAAATACCAATAATAATAAAACAGGTAGGCACCCTCTGGATTATTCCCTGTAAAACATAATATGGTAAAACACTGCGGAATAATTTGGAGCAATATAAATTCCAATGATAAAACAGGTAGACACCCTCTGGATTATTCCCTGCAGGACATAATATGGTAAAACACTGCGGAATAACTTGGAGCAATATAAATTCCAATGATAAAACAGGTAGACACCCTCTGGATTATTCCCTGCAGGACATAATATGGTAAAACACTGCGGAATAACTTGGAGCAATATAAATTCCAATGATAAAACAGGTAGACACCCTCTGGATTATTCCCTGCAGGACATAATATGGTAAAATGCTGCGGAATAACTTGGAGCAATATAAATTCCAATAATAAAACAGGTAGACACCCTCTGGATTATTCCCTGTAAAACATAATATGGTAAAACACTGCGGAATAACTTGGAGCAATATAAATTCCAATGATAAAACAGGTAGACACCCTCTGGATTATTCCCTGCAGGACATAATATGGTAAAACACTGCGGAATAACTTGGAGCAATATGAATTCCAATGATAAAACAGGTAGACACCCTCTGGATTATTCCCTGCAGGACATAATATGGTAAAATGCTGCGGAATAACTTGGAGCAATATAAATTCCAATAATAAAACAGGTAGACACCCTCTGGATTATTCCCTGTAAAACATAATATGGTAAAACACTGCGCAATAACTTGGAGCAATATAAAGTCCAATAATAAAACAGGTAGACACCCTCTGGATTATTCCCTGCAGGACATAATATGGTAAAACATTGAGGAATAACTTGGAGCAATATAAATTCCAATAAATGACAGCGAGTGCAGTATGTGTTCTTGTGGACATGTTGCAAGTAGATTAGTCCAAGTAATTAGCTCAATTTCCAGTCAATTGTACAAAACATGATTCTTGTGTGATTTTTTTTTTTTTCATGTCCATGCAGATGGAAATCATATATATGTGTGTGTGTGTGTGTATATATAGTTGTACCTTATAACATATATATATAGATAGATAGATAGATACACTCCCTAATACGTCAGCAAGAAATCTTCTAATTTTCTTTCAAATTATACACAATTTAAATGTGGTTGCTATTGCTGTGAAAGATAAGTGCTTTTTACATGAAAAAATGTGAGAAATCTGTGAAAGTTTTTTTGAGCATTTTCAGTTGTTTTAGCACACAATGTCCACGACTTTTGCATGAGAGATGCCTGGATTTTGCTCACTTTGGAACATTATCACACAGCGCAGTTTCAACATACTGTATTAATGTGGGCACGGAGCTCATCCTTTGTCATCTGTGATGTGGAAACTACAAAACAGGGTCATATTTGTTTTGCAGGTATTGCTTACCATGGAATAAATGGTTGAAAATGCAATTATTTTTTTTTAAACAAAAGCACTCGCTCCACTTTTATGTGGTGATTGCATTTTACTATAAGTTGTAAATCTGGTTGAATATTTGCAGAGCTGGTGTTGTGAAGCTTTATGTTATAAGGTACAACTATTTTACATTCATTTTTCCCAATTATGGTTTCACTGATAAAATATGTGAACTGGCAACTTTTATTGTAAATTGGATGAGAGCTATGAATATGTTGATATGCATTATAACTACAGATGCAAATAGGTACCAAATGAGTGCATTCTTCTGACGAAATCAGTCAATGTGATAAATGCCATATTCCAATAAGTGATAAATGTTTTCAGTTTTTAGAGCCAGGGAGATGTAAAATTAAATTAAATATTGCACGTGATCACTTGGAAGTAGTTTGTCTTTTACACTGACCAGTTTCTATATGTTTAGACTTTATTTATATGAAAGGGCTGCAAAAATCTCCAATGCAATTGTTTTAACCTGAGTTTAAAAAAAAAAAAAAATGTGCCAGATCACCTTTTGCTTACATGTTTAGAAGTGACCAGTTAATGGGTGTTCATTTTGTTAGTTAAAAGTGGTAAAATCATTAGTATCATAAAGGGAGCAAACTCGTTGCACAAGCACCTGTTATGGATATGCAAGAAACATCTCTTATGGCAAGTTGATTTCTCACTTCTTGTGAAGTGTGGTTAAAGAATTGTCTTAGACCATCTACAGACCACAATCCTATGCCATTAACAATCTATAAAAAGCTATCATTGTAATTGTTTAAAGTTTTTCATCTGCAAAATAGTAAACTGACTTGTCATGTTTTTCTGTGTTTCTAATGCAGCAAGAAGGATCTTTGTGTGCTCAGCACTGTCTCAATAACTTATTGCAAGGGGAATATTTCAGCCCGGTGGAGTTATCTTCTATAGCAATGCAGTTGGATGAACAAGAGAGGATGAGGATGGCCGAAGGAGGCTTAGCCAGTGAAGAGTACAGGATATTCATGCAAGTAAGATATTGCTTAATGAGAAACCTATATGATGTGTTTGTTAATTGTGTTTTACAAAGTCTCATTCAGTTTAAAATGTTAAATGCACACTGTGCTAACAAAAGTAATTGCAAATAGGTGACAGGCTCTTTTGCAAACATGTCCTGATTCATTTAAATAGTGGTCTAAATCTTACTTGAATTGCCTTGAGAATTATTCCTTTTTACTCTGTTAATTTTACTTGCATAATTTTAGGGATATATGCACTTACTGAAAATAACACTTTTCTTGGGTAGGATGATGCATAGAATATGTTTTATGCCCTTTAATTTAAAGCCATGTTATTTTTATTAGGCAATAAAGGATGGTGTTAACATTTGCATTATCATATTCCTATCTACTGTTAATAAAGAGGTGAGCTGTATTGCTGATATCTAGTGAGTAATAAGGGGTGATTGATAACAGCAGTATCCTTGATTTGTAAATAAGTGAGTTAGAGCAGATCCCCTGGAGGGGTAAGAGCTAGAGCAGGGGTAGGCAACCTTCAGCACTCCAGATGTTGTAGACTATATCTCGCCTGATGCTTTGCCAGCATTATTGCTGTAAGAGCATTATGGGAGATTAAGTCCACCACATCTGGAGTGCTGAATGTTTCCTACCCCTGAGCTAAAGTGCAGGATTGCCACAGTGCTAGAGCACAGCTCTCCAGGATTGCCACAGTGCTAGAGCACAGCTCTCAGGATTGCCACAGTGCTAGAGCACAGCTCTCAGGATTGCCACAGTGCTAGAGCACAGCTCTCCAGAATTGGTACAGTGCTAGAGCACAGCTCTCCAGGATTGGTACAGTGCTAGAGCACAGCTCTCCAGGATTGCTACAGAGCTAGAGTACAGGTCTCCAGGATTGCCACAGTGCTAGAGCACAGCTCTCCAGGATTGCCACAGTGCTAGAGCACAGCTCTCCAGGATTGCCACAGTGCTAGAGCACAGCTCTCCAGGATTGCCACAGTGCTAGAGCACAGCTCTCCAGGATTGCCACAGTGCTAGAGCACAGCTCTCCAGGATTGCCACAGTGCTAGAGCACAGCTCTCCAGGATTGCCACAGTGCTAGAGCACAGCTCTCCAGGATTGCCACAGTGCTAGAGCACAGCTCTCCAGGATTGCCACAGTGCTAGAGCACAGCTCTCCAGGATTGCCACAGTGCTAGAGCACAGCTCTCCAGGATTGCCACAGTGCTAGAGCACAGCTCTCCAGGATTGCCACAGTGCTAGAGCACAGCTCTCAGGATTGCCAGCAGTGCTAGAACACAGATCTCCAGCATTGGCACCGTGCTGTGAGCACAGCCTCCAGACTGGTACAGTGCTGTAACGCTCTCCAGGATTACAGGCAGAGCACAGCTCTCCAGGATTAAGGTGCTAGAAGCACAGTTTCCAGGATTGGCACAGTGCTAGAGCACAGCTTCAGGATTACAGTGCTAGGAGCACAGTTTCTCTAGGCTGGCAGGCTATAGAGCACAGCTCTCCAGGATGGCACAGTGCTAGAGCACAGCTCTCCAGGATTGGCACAGTGCTAGAACACAGCTCTCCAAGATTGGCACAGTGCTAGAACACAGCTCTCCAAGATTGGTACAGTGCTAGAGCACAGCTCTCCAGGATTGGTACAGTGCTAGAGCACAGCTCTCCAGGATTGGTACAGTGCTAGAGCACAGCTCTCCAGGATTGCTACAGTGCTAGAGTACAGGTCTCCAGGATTGCCACAGTGCTAGAGCACAGGTCTCCAGGATTGCTACAGTGCTAGTGCACAGGTCTCCAGGATTGCTACAGTGCTAGTGCACAGGTCTCCAGGATTGCTACAGTGCTAGTGCACAGGTATCCAGGATTGTTACAGTGCTAGTGCACAGGTATCCAGGATTGTTACAGTGCTAGTGCACAGGTATCCAGGATTGTTACAGTGCTAGTGCACAGGTATCCAGGATTGTTACAGTGCTAGTGCACAGGTCTCCAGGATAGCTACAGTGCTAGAGCACATGTCTCCAGGATTGCTACAGTGCTAGAGCACAGGTCTCCAGGATTGCTACAGTGCTAGAGCACAGGTCTCCAGGATTGCTACAGTACTAGAGCACAGATATTGAGGGATTGTAATGAAGTGATCTTGAACACTGATCTCCAGAGCTATTAAAAGGGGTAAAAGCACATATCCCCAGAGTATAAATATGGGTGAGCTAGAATTTTGTCTATTGCATTTATTTCTTAGTGGGTGGTGCATATATCTTCTACTACCGCTATATATAAGAATATGTTGCTAATTGTTTTCTGGGTTTTTGTTTTTTGCTCTTTTTACAGCAACCCTCTGGAAACATGGACGACAGTGGGTTCTTTTCCATCCAGGTGAGTTATGATTCACTTAATAAAACCTTGCCTTTTAGTTCTTGTCTTTCGAAGCTCTGCAGACAAGTTGGCCACTAATTATAAATGATAACGACGTGCATTACCACGGCATTCATCTTTTCATTGGTTTGTTATTTCTACACAGGTTATAAGTGATGCCTTAAGAGTGTGGGGGTTAGAACTAATTCTATTCAACAGTCCAGAGTATCAGATGCTTGGAATCGATCCCATGTAAGATCTTTTTCAGAATATTTCAATTTGTGCTAATACCCTTTTGCATGCAGACTTTATATTTGAATAAAAGAAACTGTTGTGAGATATTTAATTGTTTATATTCACCTTTTAGTGTCTCATCCATCAGGAGATCTCATCACTGTTGTCTCCTGTGCAAGCATGAGAGTCAGTCTGTGCTGTATACTGAGAGACTGCAGCATCCCCCATAGAACTGCTTTTATTTTGAGAGCAAATGCTTTTTCCAAAAATTGTCACTGACAATAGTGGACTGCAGACGTTTAGTCTTTTGTCAGCATTAGCTTGGCTCATACCATAAATTTGTTCCTGCTTTTTCTTATATCCTTTTAACTGTGTTGGACTTTTAATGAATTTCCAAAGCAGTCAACATGAGTATTTCAAAACCTTTTATCTTTATGAAATACCATAAAAATAGTAAAGGGGAAGTGTCTGTATTTACACAATAGCTCTAAAACAGGTCCATTTTAATTTTTTTTTTTATAGCGTAACCCGATTTTGAAAAAAAAAATAGAAACCAGGACCGTGTGACTGGGAAAGCGGTTTAATCTTTGGTTTAGTACTCTAATGGCAGTTTTTTTAAATATATATGTCAGGTTTCTGCAAATTTATTAATGTTTAATATCAATATTAATCACTATGCTCACTTTATTAAAGGGATAAACATCACTTTGAGACAACTGTCTCATTCAAAAGCCTTAGCTTTGAATGAGACAGTTGCCTCACTCTTTTTAGGCTGAAAAAGAAGGTAAATATTTTTTTTTTCTTTTCATATTTGCATGCTTCTTTTTTCTTATGCTTTCCACACCCACTCCAGAGTGGACACTTATCTATCCAATCAGTGTTCTATCCCTAGGAATGCTGTAAAAGTGCATTAAGCATGCCTGACAGATTTATACATGTGTTGTTGGAAGATACCTTCACCTTGCAACATTTTGACAGGAGGAGAAAATGGGGAAGTCTGATCAGTGTGATCATACAGATCAGGCTCCAGTGTCTGGTTTCTCATTCCTGCTCCTGCAGTAATACCCTTTTCTGTCATTAATGGCCTGTAGCTAACTGAAAGGCATGCCCAAATATCTAATCTGACCAAGTTTATAGTAAGTTTATAAACATATATTATATACTTTTCAAAGTTTTTCTTGCTTTATGCTGTATATTGGAACATATGTGTTTCTATGTGTTTAGTTAATAAATAATTGTCAAGAGATGCTGGTCCCTTTAAATGTGAATTGCAAAATTTAGGTTAGAATAGTATATTTGGGGAAAAAGCAAATTTAGAGAAATTTGTCTTTGGCATGAAATTTGATATACACTTTTTTATTAGTTCTTTACATATCAAATTAAAGCTTTTATTGAGGAATGAGAGGTGATCATAAACCTAACAGAATTCTCATGTAAGTTATGGACACACAGGTTCATCCGCCACTAAAGTATTAATCGTTGCTGGAGATTGATAAACGCGCTATTCCCATTCATCACGAAGGCAATTCAGATGACCAGTGAGGTCATTGTAAGAAACTTACTGTACAGGTTATTCTCATTGAAAGCAGAATATAGGAACACTCGAGTGCTAAATCAAGACTTTCATCTTTTGATTTACAATTGAATATCAAACCTGCACTTGTGTTAGAATCAGTGCTCATGGTAATAGATTATTACACCTGCTCATGGGTGATTATCATTTTTCTTTTAGCAGTTTGGAGGTTTACGTTATTGTTCTGTTGAATGTTATGTCAGCCAACCAGCTTATCGACTGGCTCTTACGTGCATATGCTTAAAGCACCATATGGTTCACTATGGAAACTAATGACTTAGAGCAGTAAAGAAAACTCCCACACAGCTGCCAATGTGCCAACTGTGTATGTAAACATGTAGCCTTAGTTAAGCCCATACATAGATATGCTGAAATGCTATGCCAATTTATGCATTCAGTAAGAGCATTCTGTTGCTATAGTGACTGCTCCACATTTTGAACTTTGACAAGAATTGCTTTGAATGTCTGTCCTTTCAACCAATGTAATATTCCCATGGATTTTTTCATTGTAATTAACATGCTGCCAGTCACAATGACCCTAACTGAACTGCAATGAAAAAAACATAGATGGGTGTGCGTCAGTGGCTCTCAATACAATAGATGAGTTATGATCACAGCGTGAGGCAATGTGGTTAATGAGCACACCTAGACTTACCTTCATTTAAAGCTATTGTCCTAGAATTTAAATCATTTTCTTTCTTTTTTTTTTCATTTTCTTGCAATGCAAGAAAAACATTTTGGTTTTTTAATTTTATGTGTGCAATTTGTGTTATGTATTATTAGGGAAAGTCCCTGCAGAGGGAGTGGTTCCACGAAATTTGTTAGCACATTGTGATACATATAAAACATTGGTATATGTTGGTGAAATGGTAGTTCCATCAATAAGAGACGTATAAGGGCTTACAGTACTTCAACAATGCTAATATAACTCTTATAATCTTTGTGGCACTATGAGACTGTCAAAAGCTCTTTAAACCTAAAACAAGTGGTGGTAGATAAAACAAGTATAGTTTGCTGTCCGCAACTGTACAGCAACAGGACACCAAGGATACTAGGATATGTCGCTGCTGTATGAAGGCCCCTAAAGACCATTGGTATGGGCAGTCCTGTGAAGGGCTCTGCAGCCAGGGAGTATCTTTGTTTTCCATTGCACTAGACCTAGTATCCCTTGTCAACTTGGTTATCGGGGGGTTCCCGGATTCCGACACTCTGTTGTGTTGAGGGCAGTACGGGCAGAGGAGGCAGCTGGAGTTTCTGCAGCAAGTCTGATGGATCATCAGAGGCTTACAGAACAATGACCTCATCCCCCTGTGGCACTACTAGGGTTCCCAAGACTCCCCATCGGTACCTGATGCTGTTTTCTATCAGGAGTTTGGTGATGGGCAGGAACCTGCGTCTGGACAGCAGGACTGAGAATGGTAAATCCGCATAGACTGTTATCCTGCAGGTGTCTACTTGTACACTGGGGCAATTCCTGGAACAGGCCATAATGGCCGATTTCACTGCTATGTCCGGGGATGATGTCTCTGGGTGCGTCCATTGGGGCGATCAGTGCCTTCCTTATTCGGAAGGCTGTCACGAAGTGTGGTGAGTCTCCTGGCTCTTTGACCCCCATTGCTCCTGTCACCTTGTGGGCGAAGTCCCATAGAGCTTCTGGACTCACTGTTTCCGGTGCTCCCGTATACGGACATTTAATGTTTTGGGGGGGAGTGGGTGTCAGTCAAGTGCTGCTCCCGAGTTTCCTCTCTAAAATATTAATTGCTTAAACCAGTCTTAGATGCACTATAAAATTTGAAACAAATGGTACCTGATCCCAAGTAGGCTGTCTAGGATTTACCCCAACATCTCAGATCAATGCTGGAGATGGCTCACAGAGGACACTTCCTTCACATATGGTGGGAATGTCAACCTATCCAACTATTTTGGAAAATGATACACACAAAAATTTAAACTCAAAAACTATTGACTTCCACCCCAAACATCTATTACTACAATTAAACATTCAAAAATGTTTGGTCCTGCTTCAGCTATTGTGATACACATCTTGGCAGCTACCAAAATGTTGGTTGCCAGAAGTTGGAAGATGGTTATAGCCCCCTCCCACTCCGACTCTCCCCTTGTGGCATTAAGCATTAAACTTCTTCTATTGTGGCTTTTATCTTTAAATTTGAATGGGTAAACCCTCCTCTCCGCAGGGAACCTAGGTTTGTTTGTAAGGTTTTTTTTTGTTTTGTGATGTGTTATTCTGTGTTTTATTTCTAACATTAATCAAAATGATGTCATTGGAAAAATATTTGCTGGTTTAAGGTTTGTTGTATGCCATCAAATGTGTGTGTAGTTGAAAATTAACAAAAATGATCTATTTAAAAAAAATAAAATATATATATATATATATATATATATATATAATATGTATATTGGCACTCACCCTTGCTGGTATAATGTGAAATCCAATGCCCTGGTGCAATCCCACGCTGAAATAATATACAATATATAAATAGAAAGGATGCACTCCAAGATCTTGAGGAAGACCCGAACCGGTCGAAACGTCGATCAATTTGCTACATATCAAATAATGGAATAAATAATTTTGGAATACTTAAAGACCGGAGAGTGCAATATAAATATATATATATATATATATATATATATATATATATATTTTTTTTTTTTTTTTGTGTGTGTATATATATATATATTTTTTTACGTGTGCCTAACATTTAGTAAAGTAACCATATGTAGCCGACACACTTTGTATTATCAATATAATAACTAATTCTTGCTGTATTTATCATTATTAATTGCCCTATTGTGAATAGATTAGCTTAATTCTTCATTGCAGAAAACTACTACTTCTAAACCCAAATTGGTTTATTCACTGAACCATAGATTTGGTTAGCCAGACATATTCATAGTTATTTGATTTAGTGGTCAATCTACAAGCCTGATCATTTGGAGAATTTTGTTTTTCTTTCTGTCATATGACTCTCCCTTTATGAACTAGCTGCAACTCACTAGCAAGTGAATACGCCCCAAAGCCAACATTTAAATGTAGATTACAGTACTGTGTAACATTCGCAAAATGCAATCTGCCTCCCACTTTTCCTATAACACTGAACCACAGAACATTTGTCTTGCAAGTAAGCTCAATAAAACACAGCCCTTAGTACGTAGTTCTCCCTGTAGGCAAGTCCCCATTGGGGATGCTGGGACTGTATGTCGCACAGCTAATCCAAAGATATAATCACTTGTGTATAAGTGAGTGGAATATATTATGCGATACATGAACGTGTAATATGTTTGTGATTACAGAAATGAAAGCGCGTTTATTTGTAATTATAAGGAACACTGGTTTACAGTCCGGAAATTAGGAAAACAGGTAAGATTCTGTTTCATATCTCCTATTATAATGTTGTGTTCTTCAATGCTTGATAGTTATTAAAATAGCAGATTGTAGCCGCTGCCTTTATTTCAGAGATCTGCCATTAGGGCTTCTTGTGTTAGAGATACTTGAATATCCTACAGAAGCGGGACATAGTCCTAAAACATCTAGAGAGGTGCCACCACTGTGATGCTTAGATGCCTTCAGACACACTTGTTTCTTTTCATGATGGAAGAACATCATGTCATAACTTCCTGTGTCTGCCTTCTGAGATCTGTCCATTTTCCATGCTTTAGAGAACAAAATGGCAGACAAAATGAAATGCATTTATTTTCTAAAAAAAAACACAAAGTGTGGGTGGGTGGACTCGGGTAGCATTGAAGAACTGTTGTAGAGTTATTCAATTAACCCAGAATCTTAGGGAAATAAATCTGAGTGGCAAAGCTGTGGCTAGAGTTGAGATGGAGAACCAAAACAAATACATTACTTTAGGCTTAATTTTGTCATTTGTATTTAATTTGCTAAAATTTTGAGTTAAGTATTCTAGTGTTGTTTCATTGCTTACTGACCTGGTCATGATCATGTGATGTTTGTGCAGCGCTTGTTGTCATATAGAGTTATTCAGTAGTGAGAATCCAATGTGAATTCTAAATTTATAGTCGAGATAGCTGAGCTGGAAAAATTCAGTCAGCTATGCTTCCATTTTGGCTAACTTTAACGGGACACTCCAGATCCCTGAAGCACTTTATGTGCAGATATTAATAGACATTTAATTTTTTTTTATTATTATTATTATAAATTACATAGTATGTGACGGCAGATAAGAACCATTCGGCCAATCTAATCTGCCCAATTTTCTAAATACTTGAATTAGTCCCTGGTCTTATCGTATGGCTAGGTTAGGATTATGCCTATCACACGCATGCTTAAACTCCCTCACTGTGTTAACCTCTATCACTTCAGCTGGAAGGCTATTCCATGCATCCACTACCCTCCCAGTAAAGTAATACTTCCTGATATTATTTCTAAACCTTTGCCCCTCTAATTTAAGGCTATGTCCTCTTGTTTTAGTAGTTTTTTTTTTCTTTTTTAAATATAGTCTCCTCTGTTAATGTGTTGGTTCTCTTTATGTATTTAAATGTTTCTACCATAGAAGGTAAGGGTATATCTGTCTCGTCTTTCCTCCAAGCTATACCAGTTAAGTTCCTTTAACCTTTCCTTGTAAATGTTATCCTGTAATCCATGAACCAGCTTAGTAGCCCTTCTCTGAACTCTATCCAAAGTATCAATAAAAAAAATTAACCTTGTTACCCCCCTGGCTTTCAAGCAGACAACAGATCCTGTTACTTCCTTTTTGTTTAGCTCTGTGGAGCTAAACTCAAGAGGCAGCAATTAACCAGAGCACTTGTGTTGCAAAGACTGCTCATTGAGCTGCATTGGGATGCCTGTGATTGGACAGCCACAGAAGGTCTGGGCTGTGTTAGAAGGGGAGGGCTTGCAAAGACAGCAGATGAGATCTGCAGGTTTTGCAAGAGTTTTTTTTTTTAATTATAAATATACCCCAATGAGAAAGCAGAATAAAAATACATGCAAGTTCTCATTGGCGGTATATCTACTTAACAATGAGTTTTATTTATTTTGTATTTGGGTGGTGGAGTGTCCCTTTAAATTTGAAATTCACTTTAAATTCTCATTTTAGTGAATAACCCTGATAGAGTTCTCTTTGCTTCCTATTTATGGCAGATCTACGTAAATATTTGCTAAATCTATTATCTACTACTATTAAAACTGACCAGGTGGAAGTAAGTCCAGACATGTACTTGGCAACAACTGAATGTGTAATCACCAGTGATACTATATGATAAAATGTTTAACCAATTAATGTTTTCTTCCCTTTGTTCCAGTGGTTTAATTTAAATTCTCTGTTGACGGATCCGGAGTTAATATCAGACACTTACCTTGCACTTTTTCTAGCCCAGTTACAGCAAGAAGGTAAGTGTTTTGTATCATTCATACATAAAATATATATAGCCACAGCAAATATCAACACATGGGGGATTGAGTAATGCAGAAAACCTTCATAGTAAATCATTTTTCTAGAGCTCATATTTCCAAACCATAAATCATAACATGAGACATGATCTAGTTTGCTTTTACAAAAAATCTCTACTAATGACAATTGAACGTTTCTTTCATTTGCATCCGTCATCTAAAGTCCCCTTGTGCCTTGTAGACATTGAGGAAATACTGCAGATACCATAACTACTAATATCATTTCTATAGGTTATTGTGCAAGAAAATCCCTCTTTCTCTCGTCTTTGTTCTATAGTCCATACAGTTTTAGCAAATCAATGCTAAACTATATGTCCTCACGCCTCTGCTTTATGTTGTGCATGGTTTTCCCTGAGACTGGTATCTTGTTCAGTGTTTGAAAGCCATACACTACCCAAGATTTTAGTTGATTTTGTAAGAGCCTTACAGCAGACATGCACAACAGTCAGTAGTTTTATTCATGAAATAAACATGAATTAATTAATATAAGGTAGTCTTGTGCTTCTTGACTTTTTTTTGTTTGTTTGTTTTTTCAACTTGAAGTTTCAAAATGAGCAGAGGGTACAGAAAAGAAGAGGGTGGGGAAGGAAAGGTAATAGGTACAGTCATACAATTGTGACAACAATTACGGAGGATGTTATTAGATAGCGATCCATCTGTGCTGTACAATTTAGGGTCAGCATCTCTGTCTTTCTGAACCATTTGTGGAGACAGAGACCCTATTTATTTGCAGCATTTGGTCAATCAATCGCCTTTATTTCTAATGGTTTTTTTTCTATCGCCCCCCTATTACGCAAAACAAATTTATCTACAACGTTCTTGACTACTCTAGAGAGTAATTTTATGAATGAAATAACCTCCAATCATGTGTGCATTGCTCTGTACAGCTTCCAATACAGAGTTGGTAGCTTTAATATAAACAGCGCTCTGACTGAAAATCACAAGAGGTAGAGGAATCCCAGCCTTTTCCTTGTCTTTGCAGACACCCTTGTAGATATTGAGCGTTTGCTACAAACAAAGGAAATACAGCGTTTGTTACCTATTTTGTCTTTATTTATGAATTTTCTAATTTTCCTTAAACCGTTCTTTATTACACTGCATGTTGCAGGCTATTCCATATTTGTAGTTAAGGGCGACCTCCCGGAATGTGAAGCAGATCAGCTTCTCCAAATGGTTCTGGTACAGCAATTTCAGCGACCAAGACTCATAGGAGAGGATGCAGCAGCAAGAGACAGAAGGTACGGTTAGCACTCATTCTGTGTATCGACACTTGACAATGATGGAAATCTGTATGCATTCTTCATTGCAAAACACTTTAGAAATACATATCACACCTGCCAGCTGCCCCAGATTCTCCAAGAAGAGTCCCTAGCATTAACATCTCCAGGATCTTTTGCTCACCCATGTGTGTAATGTGCCTTTTTATTTCATTATTTTCTGTAAGCATGTCAGAAGATTTGTATATTGTGCTCTGATCCACAGGGTGCAAATGCAGGAGCATGCCATAGAGGGAGAACCCTTATACGAAGCACCTGTCATGATGGATGAGGATGAGGAAAACCTGCAGAAAGCGCTAGCGCTCAGTCGGCAGCAGATTGATATGGAAGATGAAGAAGCAGATTTGCGCAGAGCCATTCAGCTAAGCATGCAAGGTACTGATTAATGACAAATATTATTAAGGGGCTTAGTCACTAAACACTGAATTGGAGTGAAATGAAAACCAATTGCGCAATCGAGGCTAAAATAGCTGATTTGGAAAAATTCTCCAACTCTGCTACAGTCACAGCTTTATTATTTGAGCCCAAAGTTTGCAATTAAGTTTAAACACTGACATGGAATGAATTCCAGTGAACAAACCACTTAGAGTTAATGTAAATGTAATATAATGTGCCTGACGCACATTCGACATGCTGTTGGTATGATCATACGCTACAGTAATTCCCTAAACTCTGAATTACTGCAAATTAAATCCAAGTGGAAAAACAGAACCAAAAATAGATGATCTAAGAAAAATTCTCCAACTCACAAGTTTCACATTCGGATATAAAGGTACCCTATAGCGTTTGTTAATACAAACATGTATTCCTAACACTATAGTTTCCTAGTCCCTATTTAGATTCAGGGCCCCAACGTTCACTCTTAAAAAAAAAAAAAATTAAAAAAAAATATCAATAAAGGTTTTTACTTATCGTTTTTCCAGTTTTGAGACTCACTTGGTGAAAAAAGCATTGGAGACCACAAGTGCATGCGCAGCAAATGCCGCACGCAAAACCAATTAAATGCTTCTCATAGGAAAGTATTGAATCCCATGTTTCCCTAAGTAAGCAGCCGTCACATGTCCAAGTGAAACTCGGTCATATTAGCAGAAGCCCCTCTTAGTTGCTGTCAGCAAGACAACCTCTAGACTTGTAGTTAGCCATGCTATTATAAAGTAGTTAGCTGCATCTACTAATCAACAATGCTTTAGATTGCAGGGTTAACACTAAAAGGCCATTGCACCCAGACCACATCATTTGGTTTAGAATTAAACCCTGTATGAGCAGCCATAGATTATTGATCAGAAAGTTATTTTTCATTGGTTGTAACCATGTCAAAGCTATTGAGACTAGTGTCTTAGACAATCCAAGAACAGCTTGCCAATTGCAATATGACTCTATATACCACCAACACCGACATTTTTAGTAATCTTGAAAACACACATAGCGTACCTTTAGATCTATCTATCTCTAGAGGATTCCATAATTTTATTGATTCTAGCAGTACGCTTAGGAATATATGTTGATTCTACTGTTCGATTTTGGAATAACATCCCTTTTGGCTCATTGATGCGTGTTCTCACATTTTGAATTCTGTATGATCAACAATTGTAGGACAAGGCTGTAAATCTGAACAATAAACACAATCATTACATTGGACCACGGTGATTGCTCCACTTGCTCACAGAATTGCTCTTTATACAGAACATCTAGCAAGCTTGCTGAAGTGCTTTAGATGGGAAGAGTGTGTCCTTTTATTCTTTTCTTCATAGTCCAAAAAGTGCAGATTTCATCCTTGCTACACCCCTTTCGTGCCCCCAGCTGTCAGTCAGGCAACCAGTTCTGTTACTTAATGGTTGTTTAGCTAAGTGGATCTACACTGAAGAGGCAGCAATTGTCCAGAGCACCTGCCTTGCAAAGACTTCTCATTAAACTGCATTGGGAAGTCTTTGATTGGACAGAACAGAAAGTCTAGGCAGGGTTAGAAGAGGAGGGCATGCAAATATTTCAGACGAGATCTGCAGTTTTAACAAGTGGTTTGTAGATATTCCCCTAATGAAAATAATACATGATTATTTTCATTTGGGGTATATCTACTAAACAGTGATTATAATTTATTTTATATTTGTGTCTCCTATTTGGGCAATGGCGTGTCCTTTTTAATGTTATTTTATACTGTTTCCTTTGATTTTTAATGAAGTCATCGTGTTGGTCCTCAGGTGGCACTCGAAGCGAGTTTACAGATTCTATGTCACCAAACATTCCTCAATCGTCCGAGACCAGTGACTCTCTCTCGTCAGAAGAGCTGCGACGAAGGAGACAGATGTACTTTGAGAAGTAATTCCCTCCCATTTTTATTTTCACCCTATGGAAACCACAAACCATAAAGCAGTCTGAGCTTCGGGTTTTGGCAGTGAACCAAGGAAGTTATTAAATCTTTCCCTTGCCAGGATTATTCCGTAAGAATTGCCAATTGAATTACTGGTTTTAGGCCAAAATATCCATATTGGAAACAATTCTCAAACTGCACAATATTTGGCTTAAAATTTGCAGCGCCCTTGTCAATACTTTGCAAGTTTAGGGAATAAACTCCACATTCTCTGAACGACTAAGAACGTGGTCCTATGAGCCAATGGCAAAGGCATATAAATCAAACACCTGGAGGCTAACGTTTTGGCTCCAAGTTTTATTTCCCCCTGATAATGAGAGTGGCACAAATTCATATACTCTTGGCTTATTTTTTAATGGAAGTGATGTTTTCCTATGGGGCTGCTTAGGTTGTGTGCTAATTGGATTTATTTGCATTGAAGATTATGCATCACATTCACAGTTTTTTCTTTAAGGCAGCAGCAGCAGTTAAAGACGGACGCTCCGACCTCGGCTGCAACTGAAGACACTACTAAAACACTAACAAACGACACAGGTATGTGTTCGTGTTTTCACGGTTAGCAATGTTTTATAAATGCACGTAACCCAGATCTACAACATTCCAGCTTTCCGTTGATTGAAGCACATCTTGTCCTGCACCTGCCATTCGAATATAACATGGCAGCATCCTATAATTCTTTCAGGCTTTATCCTGTATTTATTTATGCAAATGCATAATTTAAATTCATTTCCACATTAGAATTTTACATTTTCATTCTGTTGGCACAGTTTACATGCAAGGTATCCGTTTCCCCTGCAATAAAAGAAATACAAAATACGTAATAGTTAAGTCCAGGAGAACACTGGTAGCTCTGTGCTCTTTATCCATGCCCTGTCTGTCGTCACGCTGTGTCCAATCAAATGTTTCTCATAAAGCATACATGCACTCTGAGTCACGGAGAGGAGGGGGGGCTTTAAATATATTTAAAAACAAAATCCTGAAAATGTGGGGAGGGGACATTTAAACTTCCCCTTGCAGGTGATCTTCCAGTGAAGCCCATGACCGTTGTAGCCAGCGTGCAGTTTGTGTTGACTACAGACTTAATTTTTGCTTCTAAAAGCAGAATTGGCCATGGATGTTAGAGCAACCCTTTAAATTTGATGACTAATGTTCTTCACTTTTTTTTTCTTCCTTATATTTACAGCCTATATTACTGACACAGAGATTAGCTAAATATGCAACCTGACCAGTGGTGTATTTTGCGTCTGTGCTGCCCTAGGCATGACGCAACTCGGGCACCCTCTAATTTCAATTTACCCTGCCCCTTCCTGTCAAGACCACACCTCTTCCTGTTAAATACTAACACGCTTTGACTGACAGATACACTGACAAACACACACACACTGATTTGACACAATCTGACTGACAGACACACACACACACTCATTGACAGATACACTCACTGACAGACATGCACACACACATACTCAGACACACACTGACAGACATATATACACACTCGCTCACTCAGACTCACAGACACACACACACACACTCACCCACAGACACACTGACCGCTTTACAGACACACACTCACTCACAGACACACGGTCACTGACTGACTGACAGACACACTAACAGATATACACACAAACACACACACATTCACTGACAGACAGACACACACACACATTTCCCCCCAACACTCACAGATTACTGTTATTATTTTAATTTAAATCCACCCAGCCTCCCTACCTTTGGGAGAGCTGGGTGGATATTTTTCACCTGTGGTCCAGTGGGGCTGATGGGCAGGCAGGCATGTAGGAGGCCAGTTGTGTCCCAGGCGGTCGGGCGCGCAAAGCAGGCAGTGAGGGTGCTGAGCTCTTCAGGCTCAGCTCCCTCGCGCGCCGCAGAGTAATGCCGGGAGCCGGAGTGACAACATATTCCGACTCCCGGCATTACTCTGTGGCGCACATGAGAGAGCTGAGCAGGAAAAGCTCAGCACTTGCATTGCCTGCTTTGCGTGCCCGACTGCCTGGGACAGAACTAGCCGCATGCTTCAGGGGGGCCCAAAGGTGGCTAGCTGGCCAGCTCTTGGGCCCCCTTAAAACAAGGCGTTTTTTTTCCGCCCCCTGGAAAGTGCCGACCAAGGCAAATGCCTTGTTAGCCTCGCGGAAGATACAGCGCTGAACCTGACACAACTGAGTCTTGAGAAAAGTAGGTTAATTTGTTTGAATTGTGTGTTCAGAGGGCAGTTGTGATGTAGGTTTAATTATACAAAATACAGCATGTAATAAACAAATTCATATATGAATATTAATTTCGCAGTTAAAGTTTATAGTAATATGCTGGCTCAAATAAAATTTGCCCGGGTTATTACTTAATTTTATTTTGAACTGAGACAATAGGTCCAATAGGGTCAGTGTTAAGTTACTGTGTGATTGGTATTCAATAAAGTCAGAATTGCAGGAAATGCAAAGGGGATTTTACATTTATGGCCGACCTATTCGAACTGGAAGCCTAGCTGATTTGGAGAATGTTTCCAGTTTTACTTTTTTGTCTTTTAAATTAAAATTCACTTAAAATTTCTGACAATTCTCACGTAGCATCTTGTCTGTAATACTTGCTTCCTTGACTTCCCACCAGATGCATCTATGAATGAAGATATGCTGAAGGCTGCTATGAATATGTCTCTGGATAAAGTTGGAACCAACTCGAAACCTGCAGAGGAGAAATGACATAATCCCTTTAGCCTGTGCACATGCTGTCCCTGTGTGACCCATCTCCTCTGTCACACAGGTAGTGAGGATGTACATATTAAGTCCACGTTCTGAATAACGTTTGCTTGGGATATTTCCTGATGCTTTTATGAATGTCGTTTCTTTTTTTTTGGTTTGTTTTTTTTATTCTTCATATATAGATAGATGTTTGTTTCCAGAATGGCCTTTGGACCTGCATTTTCTTTCTGTTACCATTTTGTACCTGCTATACACAGATCTATCCATAACACAACTCTGCTTAATAAAACTTGCTGTAAGGATAATGTCAACGTGACCAAATTAACCATAACCATTTCTGCAGCGGCATGCCAAGCAATAGTCACGATCACACATAGATATTAACCTACCCTTTTTCAGTTTAACCTTTTTGTTATCGGAGGGTCAGTGGTCCATTTCTCCGTAACATATTTTGTCCCTCCTGACTCAAAGAGTTTTTGGTGCTTTTAACGCGGTTTACAAACTACGGCTGTTCTCATGTTTTCTTGTTCATGTCACAGTTTTTTATGTCAACACTGTATTCAAATGGATTTATAATTACAATACAGTATTTCTCATGATCCGGTGATTAGAAGAGAAGTTAAATCCTCTTTTATAGTTGTGGTCCAGCAGGGGTGACAGTGCTTTCTCTCTTGTTTATAAAATGGTTTCCATACGAAAAAAGATTTTTGTTGTTATGACTACATTTTACAGCTTGACTCTAGCATCATCCATTGGCTATAATTGATACTATGTGATGGGGTAGATAGTTCCCTTCACTCCCCTTTGAAGAAAATGTAAACGCAGAGGTAAATGTCTGTTTTGTGATTATTTCAGACTTAAAAGGGATCATATAGTTTAAAAAAAAAAAAAAAATGTTTTAAATTCTTTATTTTGAAAGTGCATGCAGCATCCGTGAGAGGCATCAATATTATATTGTTATAACACAAAGGGGACATTACGTTATGCCAGATTATCTGCACTAGTTTTTAATATGTCAGGCTGTCATTACCCTAAGCAAGTCGGAGTCGGACAGAAGAGATTTAGTAGGTCAGGAGGTTTAGTGGTACTCTGTTAACCCTAGGGTGGAGGAAAAATATGCGAGAAGTTGTGCTTTACGGGTGAGCAGGTGGCTGTCGCATAATAATGTGGAATCATACATGCCCATAGTTATTTTAGTTTTCCATGAACTGATAGCCATTATGTGATAGTATAAGTAAATGTGTTGCTTATCCAACAACATAAGTGTATTAAGCAGTAGGTATAATCAAATGTTTTAAGCTTGAGTCTATGAGCCTGATTTAATGCACTATTTTCCATCATCATTTAAAACCACTATACATCTGGCTGAAACGCTGTTTAAACACCTGGGGAGACTAGCGTTTCCTTCACTGCATTACATATAAGCACATTTTTGTACAGTGCTTTTTACAGTCTCCCATAAAGCATGCTTGGTCAGGAAGTAGATAACCAACGATTGCAGAACTGCAACACCCATGATGTTTTGCTATCCTTACAGTTACTAAAGCATCACGAGCATTGTAGTTTTAATTAATCTCCATTTCTGTGCTCACAAACCTCAAAGGACCACTATAGTGCCAGGAAAACACACTTGGGCTGAAGGGGGAGGAAGGGGTTAATCACTTACCTTTCTCCAGCACCAGGCTTCCTCGGCGCTGGGGATCTCTCCTCCCTCTTCCGACGTCAGCGATGCATGTGGGCAATAGCCGCGCGCGCATTCAATCAGTCCATAGGAAAGCATTTCTCAATGCTTTCCTATGGATATCAGCGTCTTCTCACTGTGGTTTTCACAGTGAGAAGAGCGGAAGCGCCTCTAGTGGCTGTCAATGAGACAGCCACTAGAGGCTGGATTAACCCTAAGGTAAACATAGCAGTTTCTCTGAAACTGCTATGTTTACAGCTGCAGGGTTAACCCTAAATGTACCTGGCACTCAGACCACTTCATTAAGCTGAAGTGGTCTGGGTGCCTATAGTGGTCCTTCAAGTCCAGTGCAGGTTTGGATCCAAGTCCTTTTGTGTAGGATTTGATAAAGTCCATATGTAAAGCAGGATAAGCAGTTACTTGGGCTTGCTTTTATGATATAAAAACATTCCTTAACCATAATTTAAAATAACACATTGCATCCTAAACACAGGCACATTGATAACCCCTTATACAATCTGGTTCTTAAAGACCCAATGCTAGTATGGAATGTCCTGCCTATTGTTCATTCGCAGCTCTATACAGCCTGCAATCATTAAAGGACCACTATAGTGCCAGGAAAACAAACTCGTTTTCCTGGCACTATAGTGTTAATAGGTCCCCCCCACCCTCATTGCCCCCCTCCCGCCGGGCTCTAAGGGGAGGACGGGGTTAAAGGCTTACCTTTCTCCAGCGCCGGGCTGGGGACCCTCCTTTTCCTTCCAACGTCATTGTCTGAATGCGCATGTGCGGTGAGACCCGCGCACGCATTCAGTCATTCTATAGGAAAGCATTCGCAATGCTTTCCTATGGATGCTGGCATATTCTCACTGTGATTTTCACAGTGGGAAGCGCCTCTAGCGACTGTCAATGAGACAGTCACTAAAGGCTGGATTAACCCAAATATAAACATAGGAGTTTCCTTGAAACTGCTATGTTTACAGCTGCAGTGTTAACCCTAGATGGACCTGGCACCCAGACCACTTCATTAAGCTGAAGTGGTCTGGGTGCCTATAGTGGTCCTTTAAGTGAGTGGGCCCAATATGACCCTTAAAGGCTGTTTTTTTGTGACGTATATTTGTATCATTGGGCTTTAAAAAGTTTAAATACAGAGTAGTGTGCGTGTTTCCTAATAAATGTACAACGTATGTGTTTAAGATGCATTTACGAGTATGCAATAACACAATACTGGTAGTATGGATGAATTATATGACATTCCATGTAAATTCTTGCATCCCTTCTCACATTCAAATCACTAAAGAGAGTCATTATTCTGCATCTGGGATCTGGTCCTTTAAACTGTCCCGAAGCAGACTATTAGCTTCAATGATGGGTCAAAAGCCACATTAATTTGGAAAAGACTTAAGAGTCTGTTTCTTGCTTGTTTGACTTAACGTTATGTTAGAACTGTATGAACGTATATGTAAATAGTGTGTATGTATGTATGTATGTACATGGAATAATAGATCGGGGGAACAGGTCAGCCTTTTAATTTATTTTTTACTTTGTTTTAAACCAATGTTGTCTAACGTTAACTGAGGATGGCTGTTTGGACAAAAAATCCCGGAGCAACCCCCATTAAATCTATGATGTCTTACAGTAGACCATCATGCTTTTTCTTATAGGTTATGGGCCCTAAAGACCCTTGCATCTAGTTCAACAACCCCTGTGTAAATAAATGAAATATGTTGCTTGGGACTAAGCTAATTCCACTAATGGACATGCAGTGGAGGTGGGGTTGTATTAAAAAAGTAATCCCTGCACCCTAACCTCCGTGGTTTCAATGGGAACAGTCACTTACAAACATTTTTAATATTCTTATTTTTACTTATGCCTATATTTAGCAAAAATCTGTGTTTGCGGTGTTAAAATACAATGTAGAAATCCACACCATTATCTTGCAGTGAGCACCTCCATCTATGCTCCCTGTCAATCATTGTTCTAATGTCTGTCCTTGGCAGTCCACATACAGAGAGCAAAGAAGGGAGAAATTAAACAGTGTTACTATTTCTCTAATTTATTTGCAATGTTTGCCCTGGTTTTACCTTGTTGGATCTGGATTATGATATCATTTGCTAAATTTTTAATATAAATTAAGAGCGAAAAGTATGGTGAGAAAAAAAAGTCAAAACAAGTTCTACTTTCTTTTCATTGCTTTAATTTTGTAGCGTGACAGTACCCATTTACTGAATTGGTTATGGTGCTAAGAGGCTATCTTGAATATATTTTGTTAAATGCATGTGTAAGGGTCTGGGCTTGTAACATGTACTTTCATGTAATTATGTTGTATAAAAATGTATTATTTTTTTCCTAAAAATAAGAATGTACATGCCATGGTAGTCTCATGTTTGTACAGAATCCTGCTGCAATCCACCATAAGGCATTGATATTTTATAGCTACAAGCAGTGTATGATTAATTTAAGCATTTAATGAACTGTGTGTTTCTACTGGCTGTGAGGTTATTATGACATCCCCAAACTCACAGGCCTCATTGCACCTAATCAAGGGTTTAAATGGCTGTATCACTGGAATGCTGTATTTTTCAAAATGATGATTTCTTCCCCCTTCATTCAAAGTTGAGAGAGTGTTCTGTTTTACAATTAAAAAATACTTTGTGTTCTTTCAATTTTGAATGTTCCTGTTCATCTGAAATGGTTCTCTCTCAGTGCAAAGAAATCTATTTACTTATCTTAAAGAGTTATCCCTGGAGTTATGGCATTTTTTTTGTTTTAGTAAGAAAAAAAGGTCACACTTACCTTAGAGTCTGCTCCGAGACCATGTTCTCCTTCTGTGATGTCAACCACTCCTCACTGCAGGGCAGCAGGAAGCGGGAGTTGTGCTGCCATTGGACATCCATCATCATCAGCTTGCTGTGCTTGCTGACGATGGACATTTTTCATGCACCAAAATAATTTGCCAGCCCTAAATGGTGGTTCATGGGACCAGGAGTAATTCTTTCATCTCAATTCTGATCCATTTTTACAACAATTTATGGAGCTCTGCTGCTGAAGCAAAAAACCTTTGCTCTATGAGTACATTGCCGAATAGCTCTTCCCTATTTTAGCTTACATTTTGCAATTTGTTTTTTATGTTGCTAAAGTTAAATGTTTAGAAAAACAAAAAAGGAGAGACATACGTGCATATATGGAAGAATGGTTCTCAATAACAGCAGGGGACAGTATACCAATTAATTAAAAAAAAAAAAAATGTTTATGAAAAAAAGCCAATTAAGTTGCTAGATTATTCCCCTTTGTGCTAGTGTAATGTTAATATTTCCTTCATCAGTCCAGTATGTGTATGAGTAATACACAAGAAAAAATGAAAATCCAGTGCACTCGCTTATCTACTAAACAGTCATTTTAATGCTGAACAATTTTCAGTTTTATTAAAAACACCTAGGCAAAAAAATATAATGGGGGTTTAGTTACATTATATGATCATACATTGCATAAGCCTGCCACAACGCCAATGTACCCCATCTTTGGCAGGTCCTACTCTGTCTGCTAAATTAGCTTCTCACTTGGGGAAATCCCTCCATCTCGAGGTTTCTGCAGTACAATGCTTAAATAGGATCCTGAGATGAGGCACCTGTAACAGGGAGGGGTGCAAAACTCATGGAGCTGGCTAGACTCCTAAATATATACATATATGAGAAAATAAGGGTTTGGCTGCACTCACCTGCACATGCTAAATTAGGGTGCTGCTGGGGGCCAATAAGTACAGTAAAAGTAATACACAAGTCCACATACTTGATCTGGTGATGTAGAAATAGTTTAACTCCTAATGTTAATATTTGGTACATATACACTATTCAGTCTAATTTTATAACATGACAGGAGGCTTCGTATTTGCTTAAAGTGGCACTGTCATGCCGAACTTACCTTTCCTCAATCTTTTCCTCTTCTCCCCCTCTCTCAGGATCTGTTATTTTCTTCCTGTCTTCTTTAGTTTTCTTTAAAATCATAAGACAAAGAAGGGACTCTTTGCCTTATGGAGGATTCCTTCGCTTGACCAGCTCTGACCAGCGGAGGAGCAAAGTGTGCTTCATTTCCGCTGGTCAGAGCAATTTTCCCATGATCCTTACCTTCCAAAACTGCCGAATTGTGTTCTAACTGAATGACAACAGTATGTTCGTTTCTTTTAGAACGCAATTCGGCACTTTATTCGGATTGGAATTTCATTCTAATGAATGAAACTCTGATCCTATTCATTGCTGTGGCTGCATCTTGCAGCCGCTTAGTAGATAACTCCCTAATTCCCACGGTATCAGGGAGCTATCTACTAAAAGGCTGAAAGACCTAAATTGGTCTTTCAGCCACATTTACTAATACTGAGTAAAGATTACTTAGTATTAGCTCTACTTATCATAAGCCCCCCCAGTACCCCCTCTCACTCTATGGGGGTCAATATGACCCCCATAATAGCACAAGGGAGATTAAAATCTCCCAAATGCCCCTACTCGCTATAGGGGCCTGTGGCTGCTCACTGTTGAAAAAAATGACATAAATTACAATAAGGGGGGCGGACCTATTGTCCTCCCCCCCTCCCCCACCCTGAGCGGCGGGTGGGGGCCATGAAGATAATGAGGGGGGGGAACCTACTGTCCTCCCCCCGGCCCCCACCCCTGAGCGGTGGGTGGGGGCCCTTATAAAACAATAAGGGGGGGGACCTACTGTCCTCCCCCCCGGCCCCCACCCCTGAGTGGTGGGTGGGGGCCCTAATAAAACAATAAGGGGGGGGACCTACTGTCCTCCCCCCGGCCCCCACCCCTGAGCGGTGGGTGGGGGCCCTAAATAAAGGTATGGGGGGGGGACTTCTGGCCCCCACCCCTGCGCGGTGGGTGGGGGCCCTTATAAAACAATAAGGGGGGGGGACCTACTGTCCTCCGCCCCCCCCCTGAGCTGTGGTGGGGCCCCAATAAAACAATAAGGGGGACCTACTGTCCTCCCCCGGCCCCCTCTTGAGCGGTGGGTGGGGGCCCCAATAAAGGCAATAAGGGGGGGGGACTACTGTCCTCCCCGACTTTACCCTGGCGGTGGGTGGGGGCTAATTAAGCAATAAAGGGGGACCTGCTGTCCTCCCCGACCCCCACCCCTGCTTGGCGGTGGGTGGGGCCCCTAATAAGGCTAATAAAGGGGGGGACCTACTGTCCTCCCCCGACCACACCCCTTTTGAACTTTCCCGCTGTGTAAAATGACACAGAGCACTGTGATTGGATGGATTTCAAGCCATCCAATCACAGTGCTCTGTGTCATTTTACACAATGTGGGAAAATTCTTTTGAATTTTCCCATGCTGTGTAAAATGACACAGAGCACTCTGATTGGGTGGCTTGAAAGCCACCCAATCAGAATGCTCTGTGTCATTTTACACAGCATGGGAAAGGTCTTTTGAATTTTCCCACGCTGTGTAAAATGACTCAGAGCACTCTGATTGGCTTAAACCCACCAATCAGAGTGTTCTAAGCCTAATTGCAGGGCGGGGCAAGGCTTTATAAGCCTTGACCCGCCCTGCGGAGCTCAGTCTGCGGCGTGTCCTCGAAGGGCGAACATGGATTAATTTTTTTTTGCGCTCATTTTTTTTTTTTAAAAGTGCGACGGGTATAATGGATTTTTATTTGGCCTTTTTGGGGGCTGAAGAAAGAAGATTTTAGAAAAAAGAAGACGTCAAATGGTAAGTTTATTATTTTTTTTACAGGTTAGTTATTTCATTCCCCCCTCACTATTTTTAGGGTGAGGGGGGTATGTAGGGGATAGGGTTTTTTTGGGTGGGGGGGGTGACTAGGGGCTTGGGATCCCTAGTCACCTTGATTGGGGTTGTTTCATGTAGGGCCCCACCGCTCAGGGGTAATGGGGAGGACAGTAGGTCCCCCCCCTTATTGTTTTATTAGGGCCCCCACCCACCACGCAGGGATGGGGGCCGGGGGGGAGGACAGTAGGTCCCCCCTCCCTTAATGTTTTATTAGGGCCCCCACCCACCGCTCAGGGGTGGGGGGAGGACAGTAGGTCCCCCCCTTATTGTTTTATTAGGGCCCCCACCCACCGCTCAGGGGTGGGGGCCGGGGGGGAGGACAGTAGGTGTCCCCCCCCCCTTATTGTTTTATTAGGGCCCCCACCCACCGCGCAGGGGTGGGGGCCAGGGGGGAGGACAGTAGGTCCCCCCCCTTATTGTTTTACTGGGGCCCCCACCCACCGCTCAGGGGTGGGGTCCAGGGGGGGAGGACAGTAGGTCCCCCCCCTTATTGTTTTACAAGGGCCCCCACCCACCGCGCAGGGGTGGGGGCCAGGGGGGGGACAGAAGTTCCCCCCCCATATCTTTATTTAGGGCCCCCACCCACCGCTCAGGGGTGGGGGCCGGGGGGGAGGACAGTAGGTCCCCCCCCTTATTGTTTTATTAGGGCCCCCACCCACCGCTCAGGGGTGGGGGCCAGGGGGGAGGACAGTAAGTCCCCCCCTTATTGTTTTATTAGGGCCCCACCCACCGCGCAGGGGTGGGGGCCAGGGGGGGAGGACAGTAGGTCCCCCTTATTGTTTTATTAGGGCCCCCACCCACCGCGCAGGGGTGGGGGCCAGGGGGGGGACAGAAGTTCCCCCCCATATCTTTATTTAGGGCCCCCACCCACCGCTCAGGGGTGGGGGCCAGGGGGGCCAGTAGGTTCCCCCCCATCTTTATTTAGGGCCCCCACGGGCATGGGGGGGGGGGGTATTAGTTTTTTTTTGTTTTTTTTACAGTGAGCAGCTATACGCTGCTCACTGCTTACTACACATGCCCCTACTCGCGGTATAGCGAGTAGGGGCATTTATTTACTAATACTAAGTAATCTTTACTTAGTATTAGTAAAGTTGGCTGAAAGACCAATTTAGGTCTTTCAGCCTTTTAGTAGATAGCTCCCTGATACCGTGGGAATTAGGGAGTTATCTACTAAGCGGCTGCAAGATGCAGCCACAGCAATGAATAGGATCAGAGTTTCATTCATTAGAATGAAATTCCGATCCGAATAAAATGCCGAATTGCGTTCTAAAAGAAACGAACATACTGTTCTCATTCAGTTAGAACGCAATTCGGCAGTTTCATGTAAAATGACAGGAAGCATTGTGGGAACACTGAGGAAAGCTAGGGATCATGGGAAAATTGCTCTGACCAGCGGAAATGAAGCACACTTTGCTCCTCCGCTGGTCAGAGCTGGTCAAGCGGAGGAATCCTCCATAAGGCAAAGAGTCCCTACTTTGTCTTATGATTTTAAAGAAAACTAAAGAAGACAGGAAGAAAAGAATAACAGATCCTGAGAGAGGGGGAGAAGAGGAAGAGATTGAGGAAAGGTAAGTTCGGCATGACAGTGCCACTTTAAGTCTCTCTTTACTAGAACTCCACAGCAGCACAGAAAAACAACCAATCAGAAAAAAGTTACGTACTTTAAAACTCCCCTCCCCATGCATCATTTCCTCTTTCTTTGCTGCTCCGCATCAGTACAGGTCAGAGTACCACTGCCTCCTGCTTCTAGTGGGTGGCTTTGGGATTTTATTGTCTTTTTACAGTTCTTTATAGAGGTTTATTGGGGGATTTTCTGTGCATCTTATGCTTTCCTATATTATTGTAACTTCATAGACATTACTGCCTTTTATATATACCTTTCAGTGCTTTTTTTTATGTATCCTTTATAGTTACCTTATGGTGCCTTTATATACATTACTGCATTGTCATTTTACTTATTGTGACTTAATATATCCCCCCCCCCCAGTTTATTGCCATTATGTCCCCTTTTTCTTCCTTCTGTCGTTTTACTTTCGTTGGTTTTATTCTGCTTGGAGGTCTCAGGAGGCTCTATGCATCTGGCCTCTTACGAAACCTCTGAGCCCTGGGACTGCGGCGTGCAGGTCCGACAGCCCCGTGCGCGGTCTGATGGCACTGGGGTGCTCGCGAGCAGCATGAGCACTCAGTGGCCGGAACTTCTTTCTCTGCATGGGCGCTTGCCATGGCCGGCTACCTAGTCGGACAATGTGCGTCCGACCGGGTGGGGGAGGCTGTACCTGCTTGTGCCCCCCGCCGGATGATTACTCACCTGCCATTTTTGTGAGTGTAAAAGACTCTAGAGCAGATCCGTCACACCAGTTGTTTTCACTGAACTGTGACATATATATATATATATATATATATATTTGTTTCTATGCTAGGAGCATCACGAACGAGCAATTTAGTGAATAGGACTTTTTGGTATGTCCTGTTATTACTGGCTTGGTTCACTGTCTTATAAATTAAGGCCGCCTACCCTTATCTAATAGATAAAAGCTATAATCATATCGTGGCAAATAAACTGTTATGTTTATAGACCTTCTGCAACTAGCTTTACTGATAGGTGAATTTGATTAGATTATGTTACCTACACTACTTTATCATAACGGACATATATATTGTGACAGGAATTCACGAGACCATATACACTACTTGTTTTTCCTGCTTACTGTCAGAGTTCCTATGTTAGTGCTATTAGCACACTTTCTCTCTACCTGGTGGTTTTGGTGTACTGTATGACTTGCACCCAATTACCCAAGATTCTATATATTTAGCTCAATCCTTGCAGTTTGGTCTCTTGCTGGCAGAACACTACACCTGGGATTGGCCTGCTATGTCTGTGCCCTATTGTTTGGCCTGCTATGTGTGTGCCCCAGGGACTGGCCTGCTTTGTCTGTGCCCCATTGATTGGCCTGCTGTGTCTGTGCCCCATTGATTGGCCTGCTGTGTCGGTGCCCCATTGATTGGCCTACTAGGTCTGTGCCCATGGCTTGGCCTGATCTGTCTGTGCCAGAATCCCCTTTTGGCCGCAGGCCTGGGGGAATATCACGGAAGACAGCCCAGTACCCACTATTGACATGGAAATCGGTGGGTTTCCAGGCAAGCACTGCTGCAATACTATCCAAGAGGACACCAGTATAAGGCCACCTAAATGTGATTGGAAGGGTGAAGGCCCTAAACCTCATGCCCTAAGGGCAAGGCTTTTATGAAGAGCCACGGGCGCAAAACCACGGTTTACGCAGCACGGTTTACGCAAAACCACGGTTTACACATGCAGGGACCAGTGCTCAGATGCCAACAGGGGAAATCGGTGTTTCCTTGTCTTTAGCAACTAGGCAACTTTAGCTGCCTTTCCAGTACCCATCTTAGCTATTGGTAGTTATTGCTGCGTCATGCTTAGCTCCTGGCCCTTTCAGTTGGTTTTCCTTGATTTGCTTCTCCGGTCTACCATTTCACTTCTCTCCGAGGTACGTATTTGACTTCATCTACATTATTGTCGTTTCTTTGTCTTCGTGCCTTCCAATTTCCCTATCGCTCTGGTCGTCGAGAGGCCTGACTTGACCTTCTCCGACCTCCCTGGCTCTTGTGGATTGCGGAGAATGTCTCCAGCTTTCCTCAGGCTACCGACGGTTATCCTGGATCCCGCACGCATAGGATCAGGGCAGTCTTGGTAGTTTCCATCATTATTCCAGAGGTTGCATTCGCTCAACATCCCTTTCTGTTATTAAAGATGGGCACGGTTCGAGGTCTTATATTACCCAGTCTACCATCGGTCTGGTTTATTAACAGTTGATCCCATCTCTCAGGTGAGAGATTCAGAGAGAGGTCTCGTGGTCAGAAAGGGACCCCCCTCAGGACCTCAGTCCTACGCTTATATTATTAAATGGTGAACCCCGCGGTTGGTCACCCTGCGTCTGATATGGACTCTAATTTGGATTGCAAGAGGGTGCGCCCTCCATCACCTCGGCCCAAGACTGCTATTTATTTATTTACACGAGTAGAGAACGGACCCCTCTCATATACTGAACCGGACACTGATTCGTTGTTAGAGGGTGCGGCCCTCCTCCTACCTCAGTCCGATACTGAGAGCGATACAGGAGACATGTCCTGAGTGTGGCCCACTCTCATAGAAAGAACCGGACACGGATGTAGACACTACTTTTTGTTATTAACGGGTACAGCCCGCTCCTGCTATCAGCCTGATGCTGACAGTGTGGGATTAAATTATTAGAGAGTGCGGCTCTCTCATACACTCACTGTAGCAAACTCGCCCCTTTAAAGGAGTTTGCCATGAGTTTTTGGAGGGGGCTGCTTGCCCGCCTCATGCCCTGTGACTACGGCCCCTGGGATGTATTGCCATTTAAGAACATATTTGGGCATAATGGATTTTTATTATGCGGCTACTGGCCCTTTAAGCACAGTGTATGGACTTCTATTAGACTGTGTATAGACTGTGTATAGGAAGGTGTACCCCTCCCCCGTTTCCTGTCCCATTATTCTCCAGCAGGGCGTTGTCCCAGGCACACTGCCAGACTAGTTGGAACTGGTTTGGGCTGGAAAGCCATGCTAAAGTGGTCCTAAAGGGACCTCCACCTAACGTTTTAAACCCTTAACCGATTGACCTAATTTGTGAGTATGTTTATATTTCAAGTATGCTGATTCTGAAAATGTATGTTTTAGGAAAATAAGTTGTATATTTTTAAAGTTACAACATGTGTGTAAAAACTGTATATTTTCTGCCTGTGATAATTAAGTTAGTCTATTGTGTTGAGATAATTGTATCACAGGCAGAGGGGAGATGTGTGGGAGGTAACATGTATCTGATTGGTGACTGTACTAAGTATTGTGGGTGCCTCCCTTGCAGTGAGAGAGAGGCATAAAAGCAGGGGGTCGTGGAATAAAAGTTCAGTTCTGCCCCTGATACTGTGTGTCGTCCAGTTATTGGGAAAGGTGATGGGATATTATTGGATTGGATTGCTGATTGTGCTTGCTACGCTGTTGGATTATTCTATTCTATTATTGTGGATGTTCCTACTTGTTCCTGAGCCACACCTGGGCTACCAGCGGAAATAGTCTGTGAGAGACCAGCGTTCCGCTACACTCTTGCACTATGGTGCCCTCCCCATTGCTCATCACACAGGTTTGTACCTGTACAGGACAACAATGTCTGCCTAGAGGGGTGTCCCTCCTACATTTAATTCAATACGGAGGTATGTGCCACATACCGGGTTTACCGCTGATGCTTCAGCTCTTGTACAGGGGTTTAGTACCTCACCGGTATTCAATGGAGACAATACTTCATAATGAATGGGTAAGGGGAGAGAACCCCTCCATTTTATCTAACATCCGTGCTACTGCCTTCGGTATAGAGGGCTACCTGATCGTGCAAGGTATATATGTTTAGACTGGATTTTTCTATTCCACCTCCTATAATGGATCTGCTGGTTCTGTACCACTGTATCCCACGCGAGAAATAATCACTGAGATATTACTGGGGGAGTTTCCGCACCTTATTTATACGCTCCCCTGAGACTTGATGGGACAGTGTAGGGGCTGTTTGAACTTACCATCTTGGGTTCAGCTACCAGGATCGACCCATTTTGTTGGTGATCCTATTCCTCTCTATTTGATGTATTCCTGGAGACGGTACAGCTAACAGAGGTGCCTCAGTTATTACAAGAGTGCAGGTTTTAGTATGATCTACGCTATATCAAACAATCGCACTATGTTTAGGTTATACAGACCATTGTGTACTAGCTGTTCAGACTGTTTTTACCCATGTCAAGGTGACAGGAGATCCTGAGGCCTTCGTAGAGCAAACGTGCACTGCCTTACCCGCGTGACAAGACTGGGGAAGGCCCACAACCTGGGCTGCAGGTACACCGTATGCATAGATTGCATGGGAAGAACGGAATCTTTGGGTTCCCTGGTTGTTAACAATCTTGGGATAGATGTCAGGATTACCTCTGCTCCTCTGAGAACATGATTCGGTTATTATGTCATGTTTAATCACCTTAGTCTTTCCTGGAACTATCGAGAAAACATCCCTATTTCTTCTGATGAAGTCTCTGACCTCTTGCTTTTGATGTACAGACAGAGTCTCAGATACGTTCACCTCTGGCTCTACTATAGGAGGTTCTGAAGTTTTTAAAGCAACCAGGACCTCCCTGTCCTTCCATGGCTTTAACAGATTTATATGATACAACTGTTCAGGCTTTCTTCTTCCTGGTTGTCTGACTTTATAATTGACATCACTCACTTTCTCTATTATTTCATAGGGTCCATGCCAAGTCGCAAGGAACTTATTCTCCACAGTAGGGACCAGAACCAATACCCTGTCTCCAGGTTGGAACACTCTGACTCTAGCATTACGGTTATAGCTGTTTTTCTGAGCCTGCTGGGCTTCCAGCATGTGTTCCCTGACAATGGGCATGATGGTGGCCATTTTATCCTGCATTTGAGCTATATGCTCAATTACACTCCTGTGAGGAGTAGTCTCCTGTTCCCAGGTTTCCTTAGCAATATCCAATATTCCCCTGGGATGTCTTCCATATAACAATTCAAAAGGAGAGAAGCCCGTGGAGGCCTGTGGAACTTCCCTAATGGAAAACAGTAGATATGGCAATAAAAAATCCCAATTTCTTCCATCAGCATCAATTACCTTGCGTAGCATACTCTTAAGTGTTTTGTTGAACCTCTCTACTAAACCATCAGTCTGTGGGTGATATACTGAGGTCTTAAGATGTTTAACCTGCAAGAGCCTGCACAACTCTTTTGTGACTTTGGACATGAACGGGGTCCCCTGGTCTGTCAGGATTTCTTTAGGGATACCCACCCTACTGAACATTAACATAAGTTCCTTAGCTATTAACTTTGCAGAGGTATTACGCAAGGGAATGGCCTCAGGGTAGCGAGTTGCATAGTCCAAGATGACTAATATATATTGGTGTCCCCTAGCAGACTTTACCAGTGGCCCCACTAAGTCCATAGCGATCCTTTCAAAAGGCACATCAATTATGGGTAAGGGTACAAGTGGACTACGAAAAGTCTTGAAAGGAGCCCTGTACTGGCACTCAGGACATGAGGAGCAATAGTTTGTAATAGCAGCAAACACTCCAGGCCAGTAAAACCTTCTAAGGACTCTCTCTCTAGTTTTTTCGACTCCCAAGTGTCCCCCTAATATGTGGCTGTGAGCCAACTTTAGTACTATATTTTGGTAAGTCTGAGGAACCAACAGCTGCTTAATGATATCTGAATCCCTTTTTTCTACACGGTAAATTAGGTCATTTTGTACTTCAAAATAGGGGAACGGTAGGGCTTCTCCTGGTTGATTAGCAACCCCATTTACAACTTTAATATCATTTCTAGCTGTCACTAAAGTGGGATCTTCCCACTGAGCACTTTTAAAATTACCTGGACTGATTCCAATATCAATTAAGTCCTTATCCTTGTCTGCAGTATTAGTAGGCTCTTCACTAGTTTGAGCTGGGTTATCTCCTATTAATACTGGTTTAGGGCAGTATTTTCTCCTTTTTCTTATTTTTCCGTCACAGTGGTCAAAACCCAAGTCAATATCGGAAAAAGGAAACACATTATCCTCGGCCGATTGACTAATTTCTGATAAAGTTTGGTCCCTCTTTTGTACAGCTGCCCATAATTCTAGAAAGTGAGGAAAGTCTCTACCGATCACTACCTCATGGGCTAATCTAGGTACTACACCCACTCGGTACTTTAAATCCCCATACTGGGTTCCAATATTTACTTCCGCAGTGGGGTATTCCTTTTTATCACCATGAACACAGATAATGCCTATTTTCTGTACATGATCAGGTTTTACACAAGGTATTACAGACTCTGCTACCAACGTAACCATACTACCCGAATCAAGTAATGCTTTAGACATTTTACCATTCACAGTTACACAGCATTTATGAGGGTTATTATCATAGTCATTGTTAACAGTACCATAACAGTTGAGCAAAAATGAACGTGCTCCCTCATCTTTGCCCATATTGCATTCCATAGGTTCATCCTTCAATGGACAGTCTTTGGCCATATGACCATCCTCTTTGCACTTGAAACATTTGACAGTACAATCTGACCACCAATTAGTTCCTTTCCCAGGCCTATTAGACCTGGATGCCCCCCTGGTGTTTTGTGTATAGAGCTGCAGCTCTTCAGCTCCCCTTAAACCTTGAACAGTCTTACCAGGTCTTGCAGAATCTTGGGGCTTAGGATTGCGGGGGTTTTCCTGTGAAGTAGGACGTAGCAGTTCTCCTGCAGCCACATATCTTTCCACCAAGGCAATCAGTTGGTCAGCTGTGTGGGGGTCACTTTGGCTGATCCAGCGATGCAGGGCAGCTGGTAAACCACGCAAAAACCGGTCCATTACTAAGGTTTCCACAATGTGGCTAGCTGAATGGATTTCAGGTTGTAACCATTTCCATGCAAGGTGTATGAGGTCAAACATTTGGGAACGCGCGGCTTTGTCTGAAGAATATGACCATGAGTGGAACCTTTGGGCACGTACTGCAGAGGTTACACCCAGTCGTGCCAAGATTTCAGCTTTCAGTTTGCTGTAGTTACTTGCATCGGCTGGTTCTAGGTCATAATACGCCTTCTGCGGCTCTCCACTTAGGAACGGTGCCAGTATGCTTGCCCACTCACCACTCGGCCATCCCTCCCTCTCAGCAGTGCGCTCAAATGCCAGAAGGTATGCCTCAACATCATCTGATGCGGTCATTTTCTGAAGATAGTGGCTCGCCCGAATCACCTTTGGCCCCAGATATCTTCCATCAGGGTCTCCATTCAGTTTTTCAGAGATAGCTTGGATTTCCTGTTGTAGTCCCTGGGTGACTTTTTGCTGCTCCTCACGGGCTACTTTAAACATCTCCGCTTGTGTCACAACAAGCTGTTTCACCAAGGACTCAGTGCACTCCATTTGTGTTTTGTCCAGGACTTTAGCACACTCTGCCTGGGCCAGCACCAGTTGCTGCAGGGCTGCACTGTTTTCTGCAGCTCTCCTGTTAGCCTCCTGTTGCACAGAGGTGGATTGGATCAGAGCTTTGATAACATCCTCCATGTTGAGCTTTAAATGACTTTTACCCTCAGGCTTACGTGGCTGCCCGCATTCTCCACCATATGTAACAAACCACCTCTTTTACAGGTAGGATTGTCACCGATCTTGCAGTAACCACAGCCTTCTAGGGTATACAAAGTCCAGGACACCTTCAGCTCAGTTTTCCTTTTTATTCAGTAAGAAAACAGGTACTTTAAATAATAACAAAAACAAACAAAATCCCTTGCTCTTACTTGAGCTCTTACTAGACAGTAATTGCTATCTGCAATTTGGTGGCTTTCCCACTTACCAATTTTCCAAACAAAAGAAATGTCTTTGCAATAAACACAATCTCTCCTAGCTGTCTTTTTCTCCCTCACTCTGCAGCAGGCTGCCCTCTTCTTTTAAAGGCCTGTCTACTAATTGACTGGCTACAGGTGAGTGCAGATTAACTAACTCGTAAGTCAGATCCAAATAATGGTCTATTACACAGCAACTAATGCTGTTGGAGCATTGGCCCACCCTGCTCTCCAAATACTCCGCCCCAGGGACCCATACCATGTTTTGCAGAGCATCAGCTATGCATATTGCAAACTTTAACATCTCTCCCTGGGGCATTTAACTGAAAATTCTCAGGTTGCTGTTTAGCAAATCAGGCCTGATGTATCTTCCATCAAGCACAATTCCACTTTTATGCTCACAACGGTAAGACAAATTGTCTATGAATGGAGAAAGTTCAGCACTGCTGCTACTCTCCCTAGGAGTGGCCGTCCTGTAAAGATGACTACAAGAGCACAGCGCAGACTGCTCAGTGAGGTGAAGAAGAA